TGATTTTCTCTGGATTACAAACTTATAATAACATGTCCATATGAAATTATAATTTTCTCTGTGATTTTCATTAGATTATAATAACAAACTTACAATTTTCTATGGATTACAAAGAAAAGTCCAGAAAAAATAGAGAACAAAACTTAGAAAACAAAAAATGATATGCATATTGATGAAAAAACAGAGAACAAAACTTATCATTGATAAGCATGTTGATGAAAAACAGAGAATGAAAAATGAACTCCAAAAATCAAATCAACTCCACTGAGCTGGACTCTCTCTGAAATTGATCAAAAACAGAGAACGAAAAATGAACTCTAAAAATCAAAATCAACTCAATTGAGTTGGTCTCTCTCTAAAATTGATCAATAACAGAGAACGAAAAATCAACTCCAAAAATCAAAAATAACTCCACTTAGCTGGCCTCTCTCTCAAATTGATCAAAATTAAAAACAAAAACCTAATTCAAAATACACTCGAAAAACTAATATGAAATCAGAATCCTTACATACAAATTAAATCAAAAATCGAAATCCATTTGCAATGTCCATCGAAACATACCTAATTCAACTCCACTGGAAATCAAATAAAAAACACTCAACACCACTGTAATACCTACACAATCACATCAATCTTTATCGTTAACTCCACTGTAACACCTACGAAATTCCTACGAAATCTCCTACAAAATTTCCATCGTCAAGTTCACTGCAACACCCACGAAATACCCATGAAATCTCCTACAAAATAGTAATAAAATCTTCAATTTGCCAAAATCCAAAAGAATGTATCTTATAAAGGAGGGTAGATTAGGTATTTTACAACATAAAATTAGGTTAAGGAACCTTAGGAATCAAAAAATATTATTGTGGACCTCTTCTTCTGCCTAAAGTTGGGTAGGGATCTTAGGCCAATTTTTCCTTTTAATTTCAATTTAATAAAGGTAAATTATACTCGCTTCTCCTCAGTTTGGAAAAATATATATATATATATAATTAATATTGTACTTTTAATATAATTATAGAAAAATGATTCGTCCATCGAATTTGAGTTTGTCCAAATTGCCTAAATTTGTACATGTCGGTCGACTGCCAGACAACCACCTGGACGACTAGTGTAATCCTTGTCAAGCGCGGTTGTTACCATTGTCAACTGCGGCTGAGACTCTTGTTGCTGTATTACTCATAATTATATTGGCCTTTTTTTAGTAAGGCTAAGTTATCAAAACTAATGCAGCTGGTAAATAAATACTAAATTAAATAAAGATAAATATACATTTAATAGAAAATAGAAAACACCATCATTTTTTCATTCACATGACTAAAAATAATCTAACTGTTATGTGAATTAGAATTGTTAGATGAACTAAGCTATTTGAGTTCGATTCATGTTGCTCTTGTTAAAAACTCGTTTGAGATTTGCTTATTTTATAAATAAGTTAAACTTGAATATATTTTAAAACTTATTAGTTTTCAAATTAAACTTAAAGAATTAACTACTCAGCTCAATAAAATTATATGTCTATAAAAAAATTTAACTATTCAAATCTGATTCATTGGAGCTCAGTTCGTTAAGTAAACAGGTCAAACTTAAACACATTTAAAAATTAGTTAAATTTTCAAATCAAATTTAAATTGTAAAAAAGACTCGACTCGATTTTAGTTCTAATATAAATTTAAAAAATAAATACTCTATAATTATATCAAAAATATAAAATTAATTTTATTTTTTCTAATATCTCATAAATAATGTTATATCTACTAATTAATGTACTAACTAGTATACTAACAGATGATGTGTCATAAATTTAGAGGTTTTAGATATTTGTAATTTATAAAATAAGTGGAGTCAATAATAATAATATAACACTAATTAATACACTAATATATACATTAATTAGTGTATATAGCATCATCGATATCTCATAGAGATAATTTAAAGAAGCAGCAAGATGAAAACCTACGCTTTTTTGACGGAGTATTGAGCTCTGACATGGTGGCTCGTACTTCACTCTCATTCATAGAAGCGAAACATGTGGAAAATAAATAATATTAAAATATTATATTATTATGCTCAAGTGCATGCACGACCATGGTAAGACCGACATATCTAAACCGTCTATTTAGATCTTTCTATGTAAATTGAAAAATGGATAAATTACACTGACACCCTTTGAATTTTATCTTTAATACAAATACCTCCTCACGTTCTGAAAATTACATTCCTCTTCTTAATTTAAACTTTTATTATAATTTAATCATTCCATCAGTCAACTGTTAAGTCAACTAACGGAAAAAGTTAATATAAGAAATTAATTTTTAAAATACATATTTTACTCTTATTAAAAAAAATTATTAGATGAGTAAAGAAAATTAATAGGGAGTTGCAAAAATTCGTTCAATACATAGCTGTCGTTTGGTATATGGCTTTTTTAGTTAGCTTTTTGACTTTTTGACTATTTTAGCTCAAGCTAAAAAGTTGGTTTGAGTTGATTTTTTTGACTTTTTTGACTTTTTTGAGAGAAAAAATGAAATAATTATGATTTGGATGTGACATTTTATTTTATTGATTTTTTAACGTATTTTATCTTTTTGTGATTAATTTAACCCAAAAAGCCAATGCCAAATGAAGCATATTATTATACTATTAAACATTCAGGTAGTGCTATGGTACACAAGCTTTTGTAATAGTAATTATCACAAATATTATAATTAGATTATTTTCAATCATAACTAAAAAAAATAATTATAACTAAACACCGCATAAGGTATAACCAAATACCTTTTGAATCATAATCAAAATAATGTTATAATCAATAGTTTTAACTAATATCATAATGGGTTATCACCAAAGACTACGATTGGGGCATATAAAATTTTTCTAAATGGTATAAATTGTTTGTCAATTTTATATAAGCAAATAAGGATAAAATAAGTATTTAAAAAAATTAATTTCTTATATTAGTTTTTTCCGTTAGTTGACTTAACGGTTGACCATCGAAATGATTAAATTATAATGAAAATTTAAACTTTAAGAAGGAAGGTGTAATTTTTAGAACTTAAGATGAGTATTTGTATTAAAGACAACCTCGAAGGGTGTGAGTGTGATTTATCCTTAAAAAATTTATGATGGGTTGGCAAAGTCAACGAAGCAGATCGATCGGTTACATCTACTTTATTTGTATGGACCAAAATAGTTTTGTCATATATACATGTGCATGTAATAAATAATAAATTGAGAAATTAATAATTCATCAGTTACAATCGTGTATGCAATAAATTACTCCGCAAATGAGACACTTTTCTTTGAGTTTTTTTTATTCAAATCATTTTTGGCTATATCGATTAACAAAATAATTTTTAAATTTTATAGATTTAAACTTTAATCATTTAATATATTTTAATATAAATTATTTATCTATTTTTATTAAGTAAAATTGATAAAAAAAAAATATATTTTTATCATTAAACTCAATGTAAGCGCACATAAAATGTTTAAAATATCTTTTTCATTGAGTTTAATTATTAAAATACTATTTTTTTATTTTGCTTAACAAAAATAGACACATGATTTATATTAAAAATAAATTAAAATATTAGAGTTTAAATTGATAAAATTAAAAACATAAAGCTTATTTTATTATGGATCACATAATTTTTCTTTTTTCTTTTTAACTTTAATTTCTAAATGAAGAAATAAAAATTAAGTTGTGAATATAGTGAAAAGATTGCAAATATTATAAGCATTTTTTTTTTTCAAAATTGTAAAAAATTTTAGTTTAATAATGTAATAATGGTATAATTTTTAGTTTAATTTCTGATTACAAAGGTATGAAAACTATTCTTCTTTCCTTAGTTTAATAATGTAATAATGGTATAATTTATAGTGACTGCAAAAAAAACTGAGAAAGTGTTAGATGCTCTACTTAAGTATTCCAAGTGATTTCTATTTAGTTTGGGCGCATACTTTTCTAAATAGGTTCAGTGGTCATCTTCAAAATCATCTTCCTACATAAATATCATTTTGCACTTCTTTTGGGATAGTTTAAGCTGGAAATTTGAGTCTGAAAAATTGACCTACACAAGCTCCAGGATCTACATGCCTAAGGATGAATGGGCTTAGTTTGGATGTGTGGGCTTAAAAATAACACTTGATCACCATTCACAATCCAAATGTAAAGTCAACCAAAAAGTCCAACCCAATAGTTGATGGGTCAATGAATTTTTGTGAGTGGGTGGACAATGTTGAATCTTTAATTTTTAAAATTTATTGACACAACGCTATTTGATAGTACTCGGGATTAGACCTCTATTAAATTGTAACAATATGAAGCTTATGAATAGTTTGTGCTTAAAATAATCTTTATTCCTACTAATGCACTTCCAATTGCACAATATGATAAGAATTTCAAAATACACAAATTTCAAAGTATAAGTGTATGACTCAAAATTTGTTTAATAGTATCAACCAAAAAGTAGTGAGTCTTACTGTTTGAACTAATAAAAATCATGTTAGAACATCACATGTATTTATTTCAAGATCACCATATATTTTTTAAGCGTTAGAGACTTAGAACAAAGATTTTGGGAAGAGGATCCCATGCCCAACGGGGTCCTCTCATCATATCTTGGGAGCAAAAGCAAATGTGAGACATCCAACAAGAAAGAGACTCCTCTAAAATGCCATGCTATGAACACATAATACCTTATTCGAATGCAATGTTTGGACTACAATGTGAACATTAAAGAGTTGGCACAACCATGCATCATGTAATGTAATATACCAATCCCAAACTGTGCTAATGAAATTGAGGCCAAGATCAAAGGTGGATTATTAAAGCTTATGGAACAAAAAAAAGTACGTAGTTGGCGTTGGGCCCTTTTCAAAATTTGGTAACACCTTGCTGTTATCATTTCTTGAAAAAAAATCAAAACCCCTTTTGGCATTTAGGTTAAGCTTTGCAGGTAGAAAATGAAGATGACCTGCAAGATTACGTTCAAATGACAATAATCTTGAAGTGAATGTGAATGTGATTCCGAATTCTATGATTTCACCGTTTGGATGCAGTTTAAATAGGAATGTGATTCCTGATTTATCATTTCAGTTTAGTTTCCTAAATTAAGAAGGAATACTTCCCACATTCCTATATCTGAAAATGTGAAACAAAACACTTGCATGAAATAATTTTTTTTTCCCCTTCTAATTCCTGAATTATCCAAACACTTTAATAAGATTATCCAACTATCAAAATATCGGTTGGGTTGAGTCTTCTTTAAGTAGAGAAAACATCCCCTAAATCGTCCCAAGTGGAGGGTGGTGAGATCAATGTGGGGAGATGGGTACAAAACTTGAATAAGCATGAGACAGTTGGAGTAGGTCAATACAACAAAATCAGTGTACAGTTTTATAGTCTCTTTTATGTGAGATTCATTGTTGCATCTCTTTTTTTAAATCATATTTTGGAATTTCATGTTTGGAACTATACTTACATAATCAACAGGTTCGGTATCGGTCCAACCTATGCATTCATGCCAGCATTGTCTATTGGTCTGCACAATCCTTTATATATATTTTCTCCCTCCCTCCCTTTCTCTCTCTCTCTCTCTCTCTCAACATGCCAACCAACATGGTAGGTTACATCTCCTCTCTCTGTGAGTTGTCTCTAAGTGATGACTTAAACTGATAAGAATGGTTCTAAAACTTGAATTCCAGGGTACATTCTGCAAAGAGAAAGCTGTGTTAGTGGCTGTGTATGTGGAGACACCAAGGAAGAGAAGGTTGTCATCAAATAACCACCATCGCGATAGCCACCACCACCATCACTACCACCACCACTATCTTCATCAGCCAAAGCATGGTGCTAATGGTGGGGGATACAATAGGAGAGCTGATCTTCTTGATTATTCAAGACGCCTTCGAGCATCTGCTCAATCAGGACCATCCACACCCTTATTACATCCAAAGCCAGTTCCTTCCGAACCCAACAACCAACCTATGATACAGGTAGAATGAATCTACTTCACGTATTTTAAATTTTGAACACTTTTCTATGTACAACATAATATAGTTGTAAATAATGAAGATATGCTTTGATAGATCATCGGAGTTGGAGGCAAGACAAAAGGCTCAAAAGTGACTAGGCTTCCAAGTTGTTTGGGCAACTTGAAACTAGTGATTCCGAGTTTTCTCAGGTCTTTCCAAGCTAAGAAAAAAAGGAAGAAAAAGAAGAGAACTGATGATTCAACAGCCATTAAAATGAAATCTATTATGAAGAGCTTTCAGGTATGATAAGAAGTGTCCCCTTTTATCAAATAAATGGAAAATAAAGAAAGTAATTGTGAATTGCAAATCAGAACTGTATTTCGGTGTAAGTGAGGACTCTCTCTGGAGCCCAGCTCTCACTTGCACTCTACTGATTTGCAATTAGTTTCTCTATTTCCTATTTGTTTCATATTTTCCTGTTCTTGTAATGTAAAACACATAATTTTGAAGTTTTTTACACTATGAGACTAAAACTTGAAAATTCTTTGCAGGTGCAAAAGAAAAGGGGGATTCCTTTGAAAACTACTTGCAGCATTGCAAAATCATAGGTAAATGCTTCATTGATGATGGCTACAATATCATATGTAAACCATGGTAATGGTTTACATCATGACTTCATAAATGGAAAGAAGAGTAGAGTTCCCTTTAGGTAAATGCTTCATTGATGATGGCTGCAATATCATATGTAAACCATGGTAATGGTTTACATCATAACTTCATAAATGGAAAGAAGAGTAGAGTTCCCTTATTTTCCTTTTTCTTTTCTTTTCCCAAAGCACAGCTTGGACTAAGTTTCTAAGCCATTGATTTTTCTATTTGATGAGCATGATCACGATCATTTTCTGTTTTTATAGAGAATATGATCAATGTTATCGGAATTTTTTTTTTAATGGTGTAAATTCCCATGCTTAAAATGAAATCAATGATAGCCACATTATATTGGAGAAAATTTTATGATATGAAAAAGTTCAACTTATGAGGATTCATCTCACATTATTTTGAGTTTAACTAAATCAAGACCCTTGGGGATCAGCTAAGCTCAACGCCCGGGTTCAGGCCGGGTCCTACAATCCTCCTTCCCCGACCCAAAAAAAAAAAGAAAAAAGAAGCCCTAATCAAGAGTCAAGACCCAATAGAGCTGCTCACATAAACAGCTATGGGAACTCTAACAACATGCTTCCTACTATCTCCCTCCAATACCATTTCCCCAAATGTGTAAGCATTGGTTACCTTAGTTGCCTCCAAGACAAGGTTGAGATTCCTCGAAGCATTGACACTAATCTTAAAAACTTTAGGAACTACACTAACTTTAACTCCCAATGGTTCCTTTACCACCACTTTGTACTTCTCAGCCTCATCCCCTACATTTGTCACCTTCCGAATCACCTTCCTCGACCCCACCAAACTTGAAACTGTCACGCTTGCTGTGTTCAGATCTGAGCACCATGCCTTCCTCTTACTTGGGCACCCAACGCCAACTGCTCTCCTCACAGACATGTCATCGACTCCTGGCACATCGCAGAGAAATTGCATGTACTGGTTGAAATAGGTGTTGAACACCAATCCTGGATCAATGGCACGAGAAGGGTTGATGGAACCGGACCCAAAATCAAATGGGGTTCCAGGAGTTAGTTGGTTGGTTTGTTGGGCGAGAATGGGAGCCCCAAATGGATCAGTTACATCAGCAGTTGTCATCATTGCTGATGTAATGGCAGAAGGATTCCAATGGGGGTGTTTTTGCTTTATCAAAGCAGCAACACCAGCAATATGTGGGGTGGCCATGCTTGTTCCAGACACTAGTGCAAACTCTTGCCCTGTTTGGTTGAAAGAACACACAATGTACAAACTAGGCATATCAAATTACAAACACAAACATTCAATTTTTGGAATAGAAACATAACTTCCTAAAGTTCACTTTATTTGTCAATGGGAAAATAATATTGAAATGAAGGCTGTTGTTGGTTTTACCTTTGATGTAATGGTCTCCTTCACTGTTAGGACTCCAAGCAGCCCATATTGAGGAGCCTGGAGCCATGATGTTTGGTTTGAGGACATCAGCAGTTTGTAAAAGAGCATTGTTTACATCAGGACCTCTTGATGAATATGATGCCACAACCGGAGCCTCCCTTGTATAAATTGCTCGTCTTCCATCCAAAATCCTTGCTGTCGCAGTGAAGACTACCGCTCTTTTCCACTCCTGCTCCTAATTGTATTCATATTGTAATACTCCCATAATGCCTGCGTAATCAGAAACACAGATGCCAATTCCTAAAAAATTGGAACCTAAGAGCTCATTAGAAATAATTAAACAACATGGAATTCATTTTGTGAATTATTGAAATGTTAAGTGTAATGAATAAAGGCTATGCCTAAATTCAGTTTCAGCATGCTGTCAGACAATGCAAATTTTTCTGAGAACTTTGATCATGATGATTTTCATGATAAACTGAAAATTAACAGTGTTAATATTATGTGCCATATTGAAACCACATGATTGTGTGCTATACCGCAGAAGATTGCATATTGTTTAGGACGATGCCAGGGACTCGTAGGGTCAACATGGTACCCTTGATCTGCTCGGAACCTATATCAGGATCGATTGTGAGTATGAAACCAGCAGCCCCAACTTTATGTATCGTGTCTGCAACAGTGGCAATACTTGCACTCTCAAAATCAAAATCAAAGGTATACGTGCAAATGATTAGCTTCCCACGAACCAAGGATGGGACAAAAGGCTCTGCATTTTGACAGCTCTCGATTGTCAGGAGACCAGCCGTCGTGTTCCTTTGACTGACATCAGCTGCAGCAGCAATTGGAAAAAGTATTTCTCCGGTTGTTGGAGCTGTAAAATAAAGGCGCAAAAATGGGCAATTTACTAGATGTCTGGAAAGAAATGTTCCTTTCCTATAGGCTATGTCTGGTTAGTATGAAAGTGATGGAAAGTGAGGGAAATGGAAAACAATCACACTTTTTCTAGAGCTTGTTTATAGCATGAAAGTGGTGGAAGTTACAAAAAAAATTATTTTCTTGTACAATCCATAGTAAAAAAAAACTTTCATGTACAATCCATAGTAAAAAAAACTTTCTTGTACAAACCATAGCTAACTAAACTTATAGTTTCTTGTAAAAAAAACACAAGAAAATACAAGAAATTTTAAATTTGATTATAAAAGTGATTACTTATAATTAGAAGTTTTAATTGTTCTCTCTTGCAAAATTTTATGTTTTCATTTCCATTTCTTTTCTTTCTCTTCACTTTCTTTCATTTTCACTATCCACCATTTTTTTCTTTCTAGTCAAATGGAGCCATAGCGAAGCTAGAAGGAAATATTTAAGCAATAAGTATACAGAAGATTACGAAGGAATTGAGCATGAAGTGATTAAGCTTACGTGCAAGGCCAGCACCGGTGAATCTTTGTCCATTGCCTAACTGGATTGAGTTATTGTATTTACGGTCAGTGATACAGGCAGCAACACTTGTAATCCACGGACTAAAGGAGAGAATTGAACTAGAAGAAGGACCACCATTACCAGCAGCTTGCACCACAAACACACCAGCTTTTGTAGCAAATAGAAGAACCATTTCTAGCAAATTAAGGAAAGCAGAAGGCCCAGGAGGCACGCTAGATGGCCCTATTGAGAGGCTTAGTATATCAACTCCATCTTCCACTGCCTAAGTTGAACAAATGCCCCACTAAATAAGTCAATGGTTGGTTATGTTTACATTTTACAGAATTAATACCCGGGTATTAAAATGCCTTAACAAATTTTTCGGAAATAGTATTTTGCATTGCCCAATTGTCCAGTTCTCCCTACCTGATCAACTGCAGCTACAACATCTGACATGTAACCTCCAAACGGATAGAGAGCTTTATACACCGAAATCCTATTGAAACAAGTGATTAAAAGTTAGAAAGATACACAAGATTGTTGAATGAGAAGAACAATATCCTATTACTGTACTAAATATTGCATTTTTACAGATTATCTACGAAAAGAAGCTTCATTACCATGGAAATTTTGCAAAAATAAATACGAAAAATATATTTTCTCCTAAAAGAGAAAATCATACAAAAATTATGACTTTTTTTAAATAAAAAAAAATTGTTCAAAAAAAGATTTTAAAAACAAAACCAAACAAAAAGGTTTTTTAACTTACCTAGCTGCTGGAGCCATGCCACTTGCATATCCATAGTTGAAGTTATTAGTGACCACTGGGATGAGGTGGTTTCCAGCAGCTGTTGAAGCTGTATGGCTGTCAAATTTCACAAATATAAAACACATCTAAACAGTGAGTTAGCATAATGAAGATATTAAACCATAAACTTGGCGAAAATAGTGTTGAGTAGTGTTGTCACGTATTAGCAATCAAGATACCAGTAATGCAAAGATAACAAGTTGAACTTCTATAATTTGGTTCACTATTACTTGCCTTCCGTGACCATCAGCATCAAAGGGGGATGCATAATCGCGCGTGGCATTAAATTCACCGTTAACAATTGCAGCTCGTGCAAAATAATGTGCCCCTACTATCTTACCATTGCATGCTGTTGAAGGAAACTGCTCGCCGATGTTGCATTTCCCTTTGAATTTACTACTTTTGAAAAGTGTACTGTTACTAGTAACTGGGAACCGGCTAGTAAAACTTGGATGGTTTGGATTGATTCCAGTGTCAATGAAACCTATCACTACTCCCTCCCCTGAATTCCCAGCTCCGCCTAAAGTTGGCCAAACACCAGTAGGGATTCCTAGAAAATCAGGCGTATGCGTAGTAAACTTCTTCATTTTGATATCTTCATGAATCGCTTTGACTCCATTTGCATTCCGAATAGTATCTAGAACCTGAAAGAATATCTGATCACTTTCCAAACCAGCTCATGTTTTACTTCACAGAAATTCCATTAATAATTGAAGTTGATGAACACAGGATTCAGAAAATGAAAGGTTTTAGGACCAAATCAGTGGCAATAAATGATTTTAGCACTGGTACTCTGATTGCTTTTGTCAATTGAGTGGTAGACTTCCATCTAAAAGTTCTTCTACTTGCATAGAAACTATCACAGAATTGGGTGGGACCCACAGACTGTTGAAAAAGAGAAAAGTGAGAGAATGAAAGGCACAACTCTCTCACGTGGGTGTGAGACCCAGAAAAAGATAAAACTCACTTCATATGAGATAGTTGTATCCAATTCTGTGATTGGTTTCTGTGTTCTTACATTTTTTTTTTCTAAAATTTTCTTGTATATAGATTACCTTTTCGGATGTGATATGAACTGCAAATCCATTGAGCAAATGAGTGTAGCTGTAGAGCTTGATGTATGAGCCTCTTTTCAGGACAGAATCTAAGAAAATGTCATGCCCACTAATCAGCCTCTCTTTGTAGACCATAGCATCCTCGTCACTCCTGCAGATGAAGATCAGCTGAATCAATTACCCAAAATGAAAGAATTGAATACACTTATGATAGAATAACTAAAACTACGTGTATGGTAGTTCTTGACTTGATTGTGTGTAAAACTGCAGTCATGAAAGCAAGTAAAATCAGACCTGGGGTTGTCCTCCATTAGAACCACGAAAACCTTGGCTTCCATCAGTTGGAGAAACCATGTATTGATGGAAGAGACGAGGAGAACCAAGAAAAAGATGGATTGCATTTGCATTGATAAGTGATGGATACTGTCAAAGAGAAGCAACATTCAAAGACATATAGTGATCGCGATTTTCTTTCAGTTTTATTATACGGGAATAAGAATTGACTCAAGAACAACTTCTTGTGGGGTTAGTGTGAAGGTTATGGGGGACTAGGTGGAGGAGCAAAAGCATGAAGATACATAGCATATCATGCAATACAACCCTGCATGTTTTACTTGTTCTCAAACCACCCGGATCCATGCGGATGGCCTCCCTCTCACTCCTTCCCAGTATGTGTTGAATGGTCTCCCAGGAAATGTCTCCTTGATGATGTGAAATTTCAATGTAGTAGATGGTGGGATACACCGTACCACATACATGCATGCGTATGCAAGCGAATTTGGCATTGGTCAACCTCCTCGGAGAAATGAAATATACTGAGTTCTTGCAAAAAGAATAGCATCAACTTCTTCATCCTCGGCTTTTTGTTCTGTCTTGTTTTTTGCTTCTAATTTTTTCTTTTCTTTTCTTTTCTTTTCTTTTTGTCAGCGGTATCTACTGTCTACCCAACTCAATTGGTTCAGCTGCTGTAAGAACATAAGATTTAATGGTTTGACTGGCATTTAAATCCAATCGGCCATCTTTCCATGTGATCCAATGGGCAAGACAGCACAAATGAGCCAAATTAGAACATTGAAGTCATGCTATTTATCATGCTGTGAAATTGAATCATGCATAGTTTTAATGGTCTCTAGTGCATGATTTTGTTGTGAAATGAAATAAAATTAGAAGTGGCAAAGCACATTGTTTCACTTAACAGTGACGCCTCTTCAAAGAAAAGGGCACAAAAGTAAGCTATAGTAACACCATTGCAGATCAATTTGGGAATTGAAAGTTTACTAGAAGCACAGCAAGCTAGTTCAACCATAACTTCCCATTTAAATCATCCAACTCCCATGTATAATGTTCAACAACTATCATCCGGTTCTCTTTTAATCCACATTAAAAAATGGTTGAGGCCACAAGGGTGGGGAGAAGAATAAGAAAGCAAAATACAAGACCGATTACATCAAATATTTGAGGAGGCACAACAATGGGTACACTTCTACAGTGCTTACATAGGCAATCAAGTGCCTTCTCTGTGATGCATAAAAAAACAAAAAACAAAATGAAGCAAGAATGTGTTGCTCATATTCAGTTGAAATGTAAGTCTGTGCCCGGAGCAGAATGTGTAGTGATCTTTGTTGTGTATACTTCCAGAGTGCATCGGCAACAGTGACGCAAACATTGTTGATAACCTAGCAACTCCCAACTGAGGGGACTCAATATAAGCTCATTCTAAACAATACAAAGCCATCCCTTTTGTTGTTGAGTATACTCTAAACTGAGGGATTCCAGTGCCAGCATCTGGATAATAATTTACTTTCCTTCGCTGACATATAGGCTTGTGAAAGAACAGAAGCACTATACGGATCTCTGCTGTCGAGTATACTCCCAGAGAGCAATGGCACCACTGACATGAACATTGAGCGACCTAACAACTCCCAACTGAGGGATTTCAATACAGGCATCCAGAATATGGATTATCTCCACTGGTATACCCTCCTTCTCACGGCCCAGAACCAGGACCTGTAGAAACAAAGAAAGCAAACCCATAAATTCTACAAAATTGTTTGGTACAATGCTTCCACTAATATACAAGAAGCTGCAAAATGCAATAAAGAAAAGGCACAAGGCAACATGAGCACAGTGAGATGTGAATTTAATGCCATCATGCATAAGCTAATGTATGAAGTGCCGCAACATAGAGAATGGATGCTAATTCCATCCACAAGATATACAAGAAACTGATGGCTCTGAGTCTCTCTATAATGACTTACCGTCTTTTTAGGGAAGATATACTGGTCAAGAGGTATACTGTTTGCAGTTTGCTCCAAACCCAAGATAGAAAAACCCTCTCTCTTCTTTTTCTGTAAGAAAACTTTCAGATTACTTACTGGGACTTCCACAATGGGAACCCACTTGTCAGCTGTCACACTGGAAAGACAAAACAAAACTTGTCAAGAAATAGAAAACTATTATGGATATAGTGAAACTTACTCCACAACTTAAAAAGTACAAATAAATGTCAAAGAAACTTGATCTAGCCAACATAAAAATTATTTTCAAATACAATATAGTAGAATTCTACAAATTCATATTTCTATGGAAAACTGAGCATATAGGTCATGAATATATTCTCTTCACCACTATTATATTGCTTGGTTGCTGCTGGTATGTCATCCATTCTCTCAATAACTCTATTAAGTTCAAGATCCAGCAAGAGTTTGACGATATGTATGCAAACACAAGTGCCAAGTGCATGACCACATGGGACTGACGATAACCAAGGTTTCTCTGCCCTAATGTGCTGGTTCCATGATCACCGCATGGCTAGGAGAAATGCAATAACATTGCAGTACAGCTAATTGTGGATGCTGAGCTAGTGAGAGGAGACAAATGTGGGACAATGAATTCATTTAGAATTACATTTGAAAATTTTAAAAGAGAAGTTACTCTTTTAATGGATTTATATTTTACCTTCAGTACAGCTTAGGTTTTAATGCAATTAGCTACCATATTACAGACACCACAATTATGCTCATTTCATAGACGGGAAATGATTTCACATTCTTAGGCTGATCTCTTTGTTAAAGAGCACACCATAGAAACCAGGAAATAAAAGTGGTTATGTCATTACTAAATTAAGTGTAAACAGCTTCAGAAACATTATATATTAAATTACTAGAGAAATCTCCAGATACGAATTTTAAGATAATGAGACAGACATGAAAATATAAAACAAACTAAAATGCATATTTAGTGAAACCACAGTTTTTAGCCATAGACCAGACTAAAAGCGATCTGCAATGACACTTCATTGACCTTGATTGTAGTCAGACCAACAATTTAGCACAATTGCATGGAGTGGACTGACAGTTTAGCAGAATCGCTTCACATGGTTCCCACTTCACATATGAAGGGAATTGTAACAACCGCTTAATCAGATTAACCAAAGAGATTTCTAAAACTTTCAATCCTGAAGAAAATCTAACAAGAGCGGTCACCAAAAATCAGGTATTATCTCCTTTTAAATGCAAAACGAGAAATCCCTCCCTGGACCTTAATATAGCAGGTTTCCAAACCTCAAAAGCCATAAGAACAATCATTATGTCACGAACCCTGGCATAGCCAATTTTTTTATTTACTTACTGACATTATGCAAGCTAACATGAGTCAACCATCTGCAAGTGGTACTCATTCCAAGACTGAATAGAAGTATTAAACATGCATAATTACAAAAGCAATCGGCAGAGTGCTATTAACAGAACCTGATAAGTTGGAACTGCTTGTCATTTACTATATTTGCATCCGCAACAGCTAAACCAGCCGCTTTAAACACCTGCAGAAAGCATGATTGGTATAAAAAATAAAATGTGCAACAAACTGCCAAAAAACTTTAGATAATAATAGTGCAAGTCCAGCAAGGTTGGGTATACCTCACATGTTCGTGCTAGTCCAGCAAGGTTGGGTATACGATCAAGTAGAGATGCCACAAGGATGAACTGCTGTCGATTTCCTCTTATCTTTTCCATAGCTACACTTCTTGAATGCAACAACTCATCAAACAGCTGATCTTCCTTTTCCATTTCTGTGTCAATGCAAGTACCAAATCATATTTTAGTTCTTACAACATCCATGGAAAAATAAAATAAAACCTAGTAAATGAATTATGGAATAATCAAATGAAAAACATTCAGATGCAACCAGTACTCATAAAACAGAAAGGTTCAGTTTTCTTAGCAATATTTCCTTCAACCCAGTGTTCACAAAAAAAAAAAAAAAAATTAAAATTAAATAGATAAAAAATTAATGGAATGAATAAAAAGTTGAAGACACGCAAAACAAAATACAGTCATATGGTCCTATGTTACGCTTCCACATCCCAATTGTTTGATGCTCAAAAACTTAAGTAAATGGGTCTACAGTCTCATAGACTGCAGAACAAGAAGTCCTCTTCCTCAAGTCTTTCTTTAAAGTTTTGTGCACTGCATCCCTGTCCTTTTGACTTGTTATGCTTATATCATGAAGTATGCTTTTTGGTTTACCCAAGCCTCACTCAGCATAGGAAGAGCTTTAAGAAACTAGAAAGGAAGATTTACTCTAGTTTTCTTCAAACTATTCAACTAGGAAGAAGCTAAAAGATAAAATAAGAACCGTGCTAATGGGTTTGAGAAAGATTAATATTAAGTTACCATGGCTCGAGTCAACAAGTGACATCACTCCTATAACACTAATTTACAGGGTATATATTTAGTTTGCATATTGTTTACACAATATGCACGTGGAAACAAAGACAATTTCAAACATCCACATATCTTATTAGGTGATGAGTGAAATGTAGAATCGATGTAAGAGGCTACAATATAAGCAATAAATATGGGGGTAGGTATGCGGTGTGAGGGGTTACCATATACCGTAGTACTAAAAATTATCACCATTTTGAGAACTAGTCAAACTGTGAAGATAACATATTTGTGTCTTGATTGGGAATCCTATACTACACCTTGTTGGTACTGAGGGGAGGAAGGAAGTATCAAGTTAATCTGAAGGATAGTCGGTACTTCAACGGTGTAAATTGACCCTACTTAGTGAGTACAAAAAAGCATTCTGAGTTTGTGCTTGAGTACCAGTCTTACAGCATTGAAGTTACCCATACCCATACTCCTTGAAAGTCTCAAAAAAAGCTCAAAGAAACCTTCAACAGAAGGGTATACATGAAACTGACAGGAAAATAAAATTTCTAGAGGCATGAGACAACTCTGTAAGGGAACCTAATAACAACAGTGATGATGATGAAATACAGACGGATTGAAACTGCCACCTGCTAAAATTTATCGGGCTTGTTTGGTTTGTTTTTGGGAGAGTTGTTTTTGAAAAAAAATTTGGGGAGAGAGTTTAGAAATTTTTTTGGTTTGTTTGGTTGTATATTTTGGGAGAGTTGTTTTTTTGGGAGTTTGGGATGATTTGATATTTTGAGAGAATTTGAGTAGATGTGTGTGAGAGAAAAAGTGATTGAGAAGAAGAGAGGAAAGAGAAAAGGTGATTGATTGATGTGTAAGAGAGAGAAAGCGATTTTGGAAATTTTTTGAGAAAAACTCAAACCAAACAATTTTTTAGAAATTTTTTTCTAAAACTCATCTCCCAAATGCAAACCAAACATACCCATCATCTTTATATTGCTGCTAGTCTCAACAATTCTCCTTCGGCTTGGTTTCAGATTCAACCTCACATGGGCATGAAAATAATATTTATGGCTACAACCTTATCCCTACTCCATAGGAAAAGATAGACCATGCAATACAAAAAGGCAGTTAACCGCATTTCAATATCTAAAATCAGGAAAATGGAGGTAATCAATTTTAAATGTTCAACTAGGGCTAAGAACTTTCTATGAATTGCCATTAGACCATTGATAGAAGACATATATGTTCAAAACATGGTTCAACTACCATACACTATGCTTCTTGAAGAAAGAATTCAGTTAACCATTTTTGCATAAGCAGTTAATTCCCACTGTTTACATACCCATAAGACGCTTGTAAGTTTCATTTTTTCCCAACAAAATATCAGAGTTGGCTTCTTGCTTCTCATGTTTGGCTATAATAACCTTTTTCTGAAAATCCAATGGTATATCCTTAGGTAGCTGTGCTTGCAATTTGTCTTTGTCTGCATTTATTGATAGTTCCACACATTTTGGATCTTTATTGATGCTTCAGCTCTCGTTCTTGATAGTCTCTGCATCCTAAGCCATAGAACATCTAAGGTCTTCTCTAACATCCTGCACAGATTAAATCATGAGACACCAATCATACCATAGAAAGCAGAACTCAATTAAGTACTTACATTCGGAAAGGCGGTTACTTGCTCCATAAAAGCATCAAGAAAACCTTCCATTGATGCTCGTAAGCTGCAACAGAAGTAAATCGAATTAGCACATGGAGAGCATTCTGACAATTATGTAAAAACTGAAAACAAATTAATTAAACATATACTTTGGAAAATACCAAAGGAGCTATATTTGACCATCACCAGCAAAACATCTATAATTGGTTCATACCTTACTTTTAATGCCTTTGGTATGCTGTGGAAAGGTGCATGATTTTATAGATAACCATAAAAGTAGATTAGAATTAGTAATCACCAAAAACTGGCAGAACAGCTTATGCTTTCTTTATTCCATTTGTTTATAAACGAGTGATATAGGATTTCAGCAGCTAATATGCAACTCAAAACTCCAGAAGAAAGCTCAAATCTCTACCATTTGGGGTTGAATTCTAGTTAATAGTGATATAGGATTTCAGCAGCAAAGAAAACAAATAGATCCTGAAGTGTGCATACCCACTTCCTATTATCATCCTGGAAGAAAACAAGCTCACATTCAGCAATTCGATGGATAAAACTTAGCCCAGCTACTAATTATGGGGCAGTCTTCTACCTGGAAAAGAGAAAACGGATCCACACACACGACATAACTGATCAGAGTACTTGGTTTGCTTAAGAAATTTGAATAAATAACCAAAATCTTCTAAAGCATATGAATACCTACATCTTTCACCTTTATGTGCTTACAGGACTATATAAGAAATTGAATAGAATCGTATATATCTTACAACACTGCAATCAAAATTCAACAAAGGGCCTTCCAAGCAACAATAGTCCAATCCGATCAATTAGGGTTTTTTCTTTTTTAGGTATAGTTTAAATACATGCAAAACATCACTTATTGTAACATAACAATTAAAAATCAATCTGAACTACACTCACTGACTGATTAAGGAAGAAACACAAAAAAATGGGTTCTAGTAGCAGCATATTAATAGGATTACTCCATATTTTTTAACAACAGTTCCTACCAAACTGCTTAGTATTGATCAAAATCTCCAAATACATCACACCAAACTCCTTATACTAAGTACAAAGATCAAACCCACCTATCACATATCACCCTCTAAATCAAATTCATTGATAGAAAACTCCCAAAAGCAAAAACAATTAAAATCAAACAATGTTTTCTACAACATTTAATTGAGTTCTACAACAATAATGTTTGAAGAAAGATAAAAAGCAGAGTGAACAAAGAACTGAGGCGGTACAATAAGAGACAGTACCATTTTAAGCTCTTCATCAGTGTTAGTTGAGACCAGTCTTTGCTGCTTTCCCAGTAAGAGATTGGCCGCCTTCTTAGGAGTAGTATTATTATTGTTTTTGATGGGTTTTGATAAGTCCAAGAACAACCCAAAAATGAAACCAATGACTAGACCTGGAATGAAATTCTCTGGCTTGAAACTCACTGCAAACCATTCTCTTTCCTGTTTCTGCTGCTGTGAGTGAAAAAGATAAAAAAAAAAAAAAAAAAAAAAAAAAAAACAAAACAAAACAAAACAAAACAAAACAAAACAAAACAAAAAAAATAAAATAAAAACAAAAATAAAAAATAAAAATACAACAAAACACATCCACAGGCGGGATTTTTTCTTCTCTACTCTGCTGCCGGTCTCTTCTTCTTGCCTCCGTCCTGAGCGGTCCTTGACGGTGCTGCCTCTGTGCTTCCTAATCCACCAAGCACATTCACTCCCCCCTGCTCCTCCACTACAGCAAATGGCGGCCCTCCAAATCGGAACATCACGGTGGCCTTCCGCTTCAGCTCCTTGTTTTCAGCCCTTAGCACGCTTATCTCTGCTCGCGCATCCTTATACATGCGTTGGAGTAGAGCCAGCTGGGAGTTTAACTGCTGCACCTCATTTGCCCTACTCTGCAGCCGGTTCGACAAGTTTGTCACCGCAGTCATGGTTTCCACACATGACTTCAATGTATACTGATTGGCTTCCACATCCGACTGCACTGCCATTCTTTGCTCCACAGACCGCATCGGAAAGTTCAACGGAGCAAACTCCGGGGCGCTTGGTTGAGGTTCCAGTGCCACCGCTCCAGTTCTCTCTCTTGTTGACTCGTTGAGGTCGGGAAAGAGGGTGAGCAGTCCACGGGAAGACGAGGCCATTTTCTGGGCAACAAAGTGTTACAGACTATCTCTCTCAGCACAAGGAACTCTCTTTCTCAGCAACACGAAGGATTTTTCAGAGGTTTCTCTCAGTTTTTCTCTGCCTCAGCCCCTGCCTTCGTCTTGGTTATATAGCCAAGGCGGCCACGCGCATCGCGCGCCTCTTGACGCCCGACAAACTGGCACGCCTTTTCATGGTACATCTTTTGATAAAGTGGACACGCCTTTTGATGGCACGTCTTTGATGGCACGCCTTTTGATGACACGCCTTTTTTATGAATTGGACACACCTTTTGAGGGTGCGACTTTTTATGGGTCCGACAAGACTCTGTAAACTGTCCCGACATTGATTCCGGTTAGTTTCTACAAGGGTCCAGCAAGACTCTGTAAACTGTCCCGACATAGATTCCGGTTAGTTTCTACAAGGGTCCAGCAAGACTCCGTAAACTGTCACAACAACTGTCACAACATTGTCTGCTACAACGGTCCGACATGACCCCATAAACTGTCCCGACATTGATTCCGGTTAGCTCCTTAATGGGTCCGACAAGACTCTGTAAACTGTCCCGACATAGATTCCGGTTAGTTTCTACAAGGGTCCAGCAAGACTCCGTAAACTGTCACAACAACTGTCACAACATTGTCTGCTACAACGGTCCGACATGACCCCATAAACTGTCTTCTAAATCGGTCTGACACCACCATACAGTGTCCTCTACCACGTTATGACACCCCCATACAGTGTCCTCTACAACGTTATGACACCACCATACAGTGTCTTCAGCAACGGTCTGACACGACCATACAGTGTCTCCTATTTTTTTTTTTTTTTATGTATTTTCTTGTTTTGTTCCTCTCTTCAAACTCAAGTTGGTTAGTTTCTATCCTCCTTGAGTTTGCGGGGGGCTGTTAGAATTTACCATCACCTACCACCACTACCACCTCACCTACTCCACTAAACCTAACTCACTACACCACTATCACCATCCACTACACACCATCCACTACACCTACATCTATATAAGGAACCATTTTGTAATAGACAGTATATATCAATCAAACATCAATCAATAATACATACAAGTCATTCTCTCTATCAATTTATTTTTACAGAAATAGTGCATTATCACATGCACAAACACACAAACCAGGTTTGTACTCCAACATAAAAGTTATACATTTGACATGAGCAATAGAGATCCATGGCTTATGAATCCATTAGTAACACACAAATTGACAACAGACAGAATTCTTAGAGGAAACCAACATTCAGAATAAGATCTCTGAAAATGCATATAAATATCCTACCGTGAACAATCAGAATTATTCGCCAAGTATGATTTCAAATCCTCGAAGGACCTTTTCTCCAAAGGCATGATTTCATAAGCACCAGAACTCAATGGAGGCAACAATTTGAAAAGAACTTGGTAAACTAACAACTGCAAAGAAAACCAGAAAGATGTCACATGGGGCTACCAAAAGTCATGTTGCTATGCCTTTGATTGGTAAGAAATAAATGACAGTAAACAAATCAAAGAGAAGCACCTGGGTAAAACCCCGTAGACTGTGGTGATGTGAGGTTAATAACGGAATTATAGGAGGAATTAATTCCACTAAATAACAAGATTGAACTGTTGCTGATGCATGGAGGATGACATTAGCCGCTATAAATACATACGACGAGAGTGCCTGCAATCAATGCATAAAAATTACTAAAACAGGAATGGTTGTACAAATGTTAGAAACCAATTCTCATTTTTTTATGAATGCAGTGTAGGAGTTTATTTTGAATGGTCATTTGACGTATAAATTGTTTCATATCAAAGAAACATATTACGAAGATCAAGAAAGAGGAAAATCAAAGAAATCAAAGTATGGGCAACTAATTGATATAACTTAGTAGAGGTATTACCCTTTTTCCTATTGGGGGTAAGGGGTTGTAGAATGTTGATGTATTCACAAGCTTTTAGAAGTTTTAGTGATCTTGGGAATAAGTTTCAATACTTTTATTTATTACCATAAGAGTTAGTATGAATTTTAGGTAGATGTAGATACCTCATACACAGCAACGTGTTGCGAGCATGAAGGCAGTGACATGTGCTTTACACAATGTCAGATGAACCTACATGTGCTAGCCTTCAAGTTACATGTGTGGTCCATGTGTCCGGTCCTAACCGAACTGGATTAAAAGACTTAATCATATACAAGATGCTTGTTCCACAAGATTGATAGCCTCAAACTTTCTCAAATATAACCATGCTGCAAGAGTGCAAATGAAGTTTCCCCAATCTACCTGGCCATTGTGCTTGCGCACTTTTTTTGTTCATAATTGTGGTTATACCAAGCCTTCTCTAATCAAGCTAATCTTTTAACAAATTAAACTCTCCTTACTGCAGTTGCCTTATTTTTCTCTCTTTTTGGCTCAATGATCAAGCATGCTTATCAATGAATGAAAATTAAACTGAAGCAGAGAAAGAGCAAAATCACTTAAATGCAACGCTTGCCTGAGGCCTCATATCATAATCTCGGAATATAGGAACTAACTGCTCCCTGACCTATAGTAACAGAAACATGATAAGAATTTGTTAACAAGACATTTCAACTTATGAAACCAACAACAAAGGTATAAAAGGTGAAAATAATTATTCAATAGTACATATATCATCAATTAAAAGCCTCAGAAGGCATGAAAAATTCAAATCCAAAAGCCATGTCCTCCAGTTATCTTTAAAAGTACAGGATTTGCACACTCAAGGTTTCAGATAAAAGCAAAATGATAACGAAAAAGACATGAATAGCACAAATGTCTTTCAAGGAAGTGCAGGATTTTCTCAGCAGACTTCATGCAGTTTGGGTGGCTAAGGGCCAGGTCAACAGCGATCAAAGTGACACAGAATTTGGAATCTGCTGGTTATTTTAGATAAACCCAAAACCACAGTCGTGGGGGTGGAATCATTCAACACCCCTGAACAGGAAATGATCCAACCTTTACAAGCCTTAATTGGTAAAAAGAAAAATAAGCACCCAATAACACACAATGTATATAAAATAACAAAAAACAATGCTCTCCGTTTTTCCTCATTCTTCAAATATTTATGGTAGTACAATTTGATGGTGATTCATTCAACCTAGCAGAACTCGTCCTCTCCAAGGAAAAGATTTTGGTTAATTTCCCAAAAATATAAAATGGAAAATTTCTAAAAGACTAAATAGAAAATTTGGACAGTGAGAACCTGACTGAACTAACATAAAAGGAGGGAGGAGAACAAAATAGAAAACAAGAGAGATAAACCTTGAAGGGTAACATCAAAACTATCTATAGTGAAAATTTATTCGAATGCGACAACCACAAAAAAGTGTTGGTCAGATATTACCCATAAGCATGGAAAGAATTACTCACCAGTGATGGAAATTTCAAGTATATGTTGATTGCGAATGTTTCTAAGTATTGGCGAACAGCAGGCAAGTTGTTCCTCTGCAACGGAATAGAAGCAGATATTATTAGGATTTTCAATGCAGAATTAAAAAATCCCTAAAGGAGGCAGTGAACAGTGTAAAATAAATGATAATTCAGGGATTAGCATTATATAATTTATCCACGGTAGAATAAACAATAAATGATCGATTTTAGTATTATCTACAGCATATTAAGGAAGCATTACATTCTGACACAGTGCCATCTATGGAATTATAAAAAATTAAAAAGTAAAATAACCAGCTGCGGTTGACCATCTCCGTGATTATAGAAACCCAATTAACAATGCCTTGCAAACATCTGTTCATAGTACAGATCCAAAAATTCACACATGGAACCCAACTTTAAGTTGGCTGCATAAAAGACGATTTATCATAAAAGCATAAAGAATGTCAGTTTGTACAACCGGGACTGGATTTTATTTTCGCAGATGGAGGGCATGCATTATCTGTATGAAATCCATACCATGAGAACATCGAGAAGTACTACCCATATACAAAATCATATATATCCACTACCAAGGATCAGATGGAGTAATTTTAATGGATTTACAAATAAAGAGAGAAAAGGCAATGATATGCTAAATATTCCCGAGACATGCTGAAATTAATACAATGGTGATTGCAAAAATAAAGCAAAAGGTAAACTGGAAATAGTATGGAGATCAGATAAACTGAATCTAGAGCATTGTCCCGGTTAACATAGAAATAGAATATACATAATGAAATTAGACTACAAATTGTAGGGGAAGTGTAGAATTTGAGATTGTATGGGGTAGTCTAATAACAACAAACTCAACATCTTTTGTGCATTATATTTGTTAAATTAAAATTGATACAGATTTACCACATAATTATGGACAATTCTACTCACATAGAGGGCGATGTGCAAGCTACATGTAACTTCCTGTAATATATCTTGATGAACAAATTGTGACAAAATGCATATCATTTGCCATGCACGAATTTTGCGCCTATGAACCTGTGAAAAAACAAGAAAAGAAAAACACTAGGAGAATATCAAGAAAAATAGGGGGTGGAGGGGGGGGGGGGGGAAGGAGAGAACCAGCATTCAGCAGTGCAATTAAATTCTTTACACTTCTAGAATAATTCCAAGCAGGTTGTACGCTAAATTGAAGTCATACCTAAGCTTCAAATTTGTAGAAATTTAATGTATAAAGAGAAATGATTGTATTATTGATTGTTGTATTGATCTAAATTACAATGATTCATGATTCCTATATATAGAAGAGGGTGAGTGTGTAGTAGGTAAAGAGTAGGTGAAGTGGAGGTGGTAGTGGTGTAGTGGGTTAGGTTTAGTGGAGTAGGTGAGGTGGTAGTGGTGTAGTGGGTTAGGTTTAGTGGAGTAGGTGAAAAAAAAAAAAAAAAAAAAAAAAAAAAAAACATCTTAACAGCCCCCGCAAACTCAAGGGGGATAGGAACTAACCAACTTGAGTTTGGAGAGAGTAACAAAACAAGAAAATACATAAAAATAAAAGAGGATAAGAGACACTGTATGGGTTAGGTTTAGTGGAGTAGGTGAGGTGGTAGTGTTGTAGTGGGTTAGGTTTAGTGGAGTAGGTGAGGTGGTAGTGTTGTAGTGGGTTAGGTTTAGTGGAGTAGGTGAGGTGGTAGTGTTGTAGTGGGTTAGGTTTAGTGGAGTAGGTGAGGTGGTAGTGGTGTAGTGGGTGGATTTTAACAAAATTATTCCTGCAACGGGTAACTTTTAAATCCAAGGGTTGGTAGAGATGGTACTCACCCCACTGTACTTTTTGTACAGCTCCTTTGCTTGATCCTTGTCATTTACCTGCATCCACAAATACAGCAATCAACACTATAAGTATGATATGACAAGAAATCTTTAAAAAGGAGCAAATACAGCTTTAAAATATATAACCATGCAACAAACATTTATAAAAACATGACTGAAGAATATTTTTTGAAGATATATCATCTGAAATCAACAAATACCATTTCTAATATTCACATTCGTACAATATTCTACCAACCAGGTTACAATTAGAAGGCTTTCCAGCCAACAGAAAAACAAAAATGAAAAAATGGCCAAAAGTCGCAACATTTAAAAATAAAAAAAATAATAAAAAATAAAACAGAGAGAGAGAAGTAGGGCAAAATCCTCTTTAGCCCCTCGTAGTTACAATTACAACATAAAAGTGCAAAACAGACCAAATCCACCAGGTGGGTATTGTTCTCAGCCAAAACCAAAGAGGATGATGCCATTTGCAAATATTTCAACATTTACAAGGCTGCAAATATTGAAACCCAAAACTAGCAGCCTTTAGCAATTCAAAACATAAAATGCCATTTGCAGATGAAATACAGCGTGACGCACTAGTACAAAGTTATGAAAGGTGGGACAGAATAAATACAATTAGATAGCTGCTGTTGTATTTGACGCACTAGTACAAAGTCATACTATTTCATTAAATCAGTTAACATTTCTTAGAGTTTAACTGAGGATTTTGAAGACATGATTCAATACCACAAAATCAAGAAGCTCTAGCAAAAACATTTTGCCGGATTCAAAAGCAGCGTGGCAGTTTTTGTTTGCATTTATCAATCCAACCATAGCGGCAAAATCTGCAAGCTTGTAAAACAGAACAGCAACAGATACACGTGCATACAACTCTGTGTTGATGAATGCCTGGTAAGAAATTACAACATTAAAAAATATGTAGTTAGAAACTTCAACAAATGCAATTTATAAAGAATTATAATGTAATGACAGTAAATACAAATTTATGATTATAATGTAATTGCAGTAAATAAAATATTATGCAATAACTATTACCAAATGCCATTTATCAGGCACTAGCATTACACACAATGGCAAACAAATAATGTTGAAGTTGTTGGAGCTACTTAACCAATTTTCAAATGAGATGACTCAATAACATTTAGTCTATAGAAGGTAAAATTTTCATGAAAATCTTTGTAAAAACACAAAATTGTATACTGCCCTATACTTCATTAAGTTTGCTGTGGTCAGCCACATCCGTCACAAGGATGCTGTGTCCGACTCCCGCACCCGTATCAGTGTCGTGTGGGTACTCCAGCCAAAACCAGTGAGTCCATGTAACACAGCCAGCGGTATATTAAATTAGCAACAAAATCAATAAACTAAAAGCTTCAAATGTTTCATCATCCCCATGTCCCAATAGCAATTCACACCATCACTAACAAAGGAAAAGGAGGGAAAAAAAAAAAAAAGGCTAGAATTTGAACTTCGTTCCAAACCAACAATTGGAACTTCTCCATGTCCTTCCCAGTGTCTTCCTCTACTGTTAAGATTCACCCACACAAATTCTGAGTAGCTTAAAGTGGGAGGAGCACTAGAGTTGTAAAGGAAGCCCACATCCTATTAGCTTGGAAGAGTTTTGGGGGCTTCAAAAAGTGTATTATGGTCTGTTTGGTATCGTCCCCTAGGGGACACCCCAGCGGCTTTGGCCACATTCCTCCAATAAAAAGACTCAAGTTTGTGTCTCATTAACATACCTATCCAAAAAAAAAAAATTGTGTTTGGTTACATCTTCAAATTGCTCTAAAAGTTAGAGGGCTGTTGCCAAAACAAACATTTTGACAAAGCAGGAATATAATTGCTTTGGCAGAAAGAGAAACTGAGAAGGTGGGGCTGAAAGGTCTTCTCATGATGTAAAGACCATATAGAACCAAGAGTTTTAAAGAAATCACTTCCCTACAGAACTCTTAGTTAAAAGTATTTCATTGTAAGTCACTGCAGCATCAAACTGAACCTAATATTCCTCTCCATCTCAATATTCCAAAATCACTTGGCCCCATAAAATCGTACTCCAACAATGACATACCTTTTCATTTAATACTCAACCCTTTTAGTCCATTAGTGAAACAGCAAAACAAATAAATTCACACGAGTCTACATCATCCGCACCCTAGTTGCCCATTCCAGACTCAATCTTGGCATATCTAGCAAAACAATCCACCATTAAAAAAAAAAAACACACACACACAGATTTTTCTGAGCTCGATCAAGACTCATAATAGATAAGAACAACAAGGTGCCAAAAACTATCCGTAACTATAGCAACGATTTCATTTTTCGATCAAATAAGTATATGCTGAAGAGGCTCATATGATCAGTATTGATCCAAGCCGTTAGTTTTAACACCATGAGCTGGAATAAAACCTAAACCAAATTACTCAAATTGAAACAACCATTTCTTGGAGAGGAACTCGTAATTTGCCCATAATTACAACGATAGAACTAGACATTACCAAGTTCAAAGATGAATGATATCAAGTAATTCTAGCATAAAGAAATCCAAAACAGGAAACAAAATCCAATTATAATTAAATATATATATCTTACTTCAGTCAGTTCAAGGTCTGGGCTTTTGGACAATAATGATACTTCTTTCCTTGCATCATAATTCTCAGCCAGTTCGGCTTCAAAATCCTCATCAAATGCAACTGGTGAAGAACTCAGATTAAATAAAGAAAAAAAAAATCAAAAGGATTCATCCTCAATTCATGAATTTCTTATCTTGTAAAAGAAAGGAAGAAAACTGAGAATAAATTATTTAATTGAAGAATTAATTAAAATATTGGGTAAGTGTGTGATGCACCTGAACCATAGAGAGTTAACAGCTTCAGCTCCTGCATATAGTACTTAATAGTTTTGGGATTTAAGAGCCATAACCCTGTTAGATGCAATGCTGCAAGACGGATAGTGCGTGGACTTTTGGTGCCTTCCTCAAGAATTTTTCCAACAAACTACAAGAAGGGTGTTAAAAATAAGTAAAAATTTACTGAAATCACCAAAAGAGTATTTATAGAATAACTTTTTCAGAGGAATCAACAGGAGTTGGGGAGAGAGAGAAGAACCACACACCCACTTCAGAGGTCCAGGTCCATTGTCACTTTGATGCATGCACTCGTTGCTAAACACAGAATAATGCAATACAGAAGATAAAAGTGCAGCAATAGGGGCAACCCTCCTCTTATTGCAGCTGACATGCAATATCCAAGAAGAACGTACCAAATGCCACATCATCTTCAAAGAGATTAAAGTCAGAAAATTAATGTCAACAATTGCAGCCAATTCATTCAAATTATACCTAATTTATCAAACCAGAAAAAGGAAAGCATAAAATTTGAAATTGATTCATTCCATACAGCAAATTTTTATCTGCAGTCGTGTTTGGAACTGAATTATGTTTTTTTTTTCCAATATCTCTGCTCAATCTCCATATAATTACTTAGGTACTCAGGCATAGGATATTAACTATGTTTCTTCACCTATATGAGTGTTACCAAGATATATCTAATTTATTTCAAGTCATTTGCTATTACGGAATTTCCTCACTCATGATATGCAACTAGGCTGATGCCTCTCTTCCAAGCTGGTAAAATCCTAGCCTAATGTCTTCGCTTCTACAACCATGAAGAAAATCGCACAATACTGAAGATAATAACACAAGGAATATCACCATAATCTCTAAATGATGTTGCATGAAAAGATAGACAAGGCACATGCATGGATCCCTAATTTTATTTTTTTTGATCAACAACAAATTTTTATTGATTAATCAAAAAGAAGAAATGAGGATAAGGCATCCTCTACAAAAAGAAGCAAAGAAAGACACATGCATGGATCCATTGTAATTAATCCTCACTAAAAATTGTATTGTGAGCATGCACACACTTGCATACAACAATTGCTAAGGAAAAATATGACACTAACCTGAGTATCCATGCCATCACGTGAGGAAACATCTGAACGCATCGATTCTGAATTAAACAGCTCCAATACCAATCTGATAGACCTCAACATGGGCAAAACAGAACCTTCCCCAGCATTCTCAAGGCTAAAAATTCATTTGGGATAGAAACGATGATCATAAAGAATCTCGAGGACTAATAAACACATTATTATAAAAACAGAAACAGCTGGAAACCAAATTTAGAATACTAAGCAAATATAACAGAATGATAGGAAGGATACCATTTCCTACACTTTTTTTTAAATGGGCAGTCCACTTAGAAGTTTGCCAAAAACAGAAAACCTATTTTTATAGGTAATAATGTGTTTTAAATAATGATTACCGTAATATTGTTGCATGTTAAAGAAGAATATCTTCTGGCTAAATTAAAGAAAAGAAAGAATGATAATTTTGACATTCTGAATGAACAATGAAACAAATGCCATGTTTATGTGAACACAGAATAAACATAAACTGCTAAAATAGATCATAAAATTACTACCAAACAATACCAACAAGTCGTCTCCAAGCAAGCTTACTACAGTAACAAGCACCATAACAACATATGCAAAGCAACCTCAGTAGTACACATAATGGTGTCTGCATACCTATCAACAAGATCACCAAATACTGAACAGAGTGTGGCATCTGAGAAGAAACAATGACCAATTTCTATTTGAACTCCATTCTCAAAAGCATGGCTAGGGATTGACAACAGATATTCTAGGCAGATCCACTGCAACAGTAACATAACATAAGTTGGAATCAGTTACGTTATTAATTTATGCACCATCAACAACCAAATTTGGAAGTAATATTTGATGCCCCTACTGGAACAAAACAACATAAATCATAAAATTGACTGATACTAGTAGAACCCCATTATCCATAACATCTGCAATTTATCATCGAATGCAACACATCCATTAGCAATATCAATAGGAGAATAATATCTTCAAGACATACTGCCAACCCAACCACACACATACAGACACAGACAGACAGACAGACATACAGAAGCTAAGAACCGCACAGATGTACAAGAACAAGGATACAGATACAGAGGAACATGGATACAGATACAGACACCAACATGAGACAGCGATTTCCAAAAATCAGAATACGGACATGAGAGGACAAGGGAAAAGCATTTTTTTATATTTTTTTATTTTCTGTGTATGAATATTCCATCCACAAATAACTAAAAATAATGAAAAGCTAACAGTAATTCAACATGAAAAACAACTCAAATCTATAAAATAAACTTTATTCAATATAGAAATTTTTATTAATAATAAACCATTACATCAGAGTTGTTTGCCTTCATCAACATCAGAAATTGTGGGTGTGCTACTAGCACAAGTAAAATAAGACAAGTTTTTTGATGACCATTACAACTTACAAGTTAAAAAAAAAGCTATTTCAACAATCAAACACTAATTTAGAATGACAATTCAACAACTTCAATAATCAAACACTAAATCAAAAATTTGTGGGAGAGAATGATACTTATTTGTATTGTTTAAAGAATAAGGGAGAGTATACTGCACAGTGATGATTAACACGGTAACAAATTTACATATAGGTGGTTATGAATTTATGACGAATCTGTTTCCATCTCAGCACCATGTCTTGGAGCATGCCTAGAGGCAGGACATGTGTCTATGAATGTCCCCAATGTGTCCGGGCTAAGAAAAAATAATTAAAAAACATATCTCGGTGTGTTCTGGGGCATGAACATGGCTACAGAAATTAAGTTTAAGTGTCCATGTGATGTAGGACAGCATTGGATTTTCAAAACAGAGGCTATTTGGCAGCCTAAAGAGTGGGTACTGCTGGAAATTTGTGTTAATGCATAGAATATGATAGTGGTGTTGGTGGTAGATAGTGGCATGTATATAATATGATAGTGGTAGATAGTGGTAATATATAATATGTAAGTGGCATATAATGGGTTATAATGATGTTTGTAATATCTCCTATATAAGGAGTGTCATTTGGTCTTGTAAAATAAGAAGTTTTGAATATAACAGAAATATATTCCTTCTTCCTCATATTTTCGGAGTTCTTCTTCCTCATATTTTCTAAGTTAGGGTTTTAAGGGTTAAATTAAAGGCTAATAGGTAGGGGAAGGGATTAGGGTTGATTTGGAGGTGACTGGATGGGATTTTGGGGTTGAAAAGTGCACTTTTAGAGGACCATGAATAGCAATCCGAGAACAGTAAATTTAAACAGAAAATAAAAAGAGGGAAAGACGGAGAAGAACAAGAAAGATCTAGGAATCACTCCTAGAATCCCTTAGGCATCACACCTACAGCTAGGGTTGCATCACACAAACCCAAAGAGTAATTAAATAACTTGATCCACAAGACGACCCATCGGCGACCCATACAACCCATGTTGGCAAATACAAAATTACCAAAATACCTTAAAAATCCTAAAAAACATAAAAATAATAAAAAAAAATAAAACTAATAATACTAGAAACATAATTATAGAAGATTTCTATTAGTTTTTCTATGAAATCATGTCAATGTCCAAGTATATCATCACTTCTCTGAATTTAGCCTTCCTTGAGTTTCTTATACTCTGCATCACCATGCTTCATAGGATGGAAGGAAGGAAAACAATAAAAAAGACAGAAATTTTGAAGAAAAGATACAGCATGTTAGGATTTCCCAAAAAAACATACAGAAAAAAAGAAAACAGTCCAAGAACACATGCTTGCATGCCTATATACAATATATTCATACGCATGTACACAAAACAGAAAACAACAGTCAAAAAAGAAAAACCACCTTCCAATTCATCAAAATTGCCCGTCGAGATTGCACCATCAATTCAACTGCAATGAGATTATTGATGTTCTGAAGAAAAGAAAGAACCAAGGAATCGAATAGGGGTTTGCCTTCTGCGTTCGGTGATGAGGGTTCTTGATTTTCCATAATGAGATCCAAAGCAAAAGAAGAGAATGCAGAGACTATGGCTTTCAGAACATGAGCCAATGCTTCATACGCTGCCAGCCAAATTTCTGCTGCAGTCTATTCAGATCAGTTTAAGTCAATTAGTGAAAGCATCCTACTCAAACTAACAAATTCAAATGGTAACTAAGATCTTCATTATTACAAATGCCTTTAGATCACCCTAGCAAATGCAATGCAAAAATACCTCTGAATCACACGTTGGTGATGAAACAATATTCCAGAAGAATTTCCACAAGAAGATGAATGCAAAATTGAGTATACCATCACTTTCAAATTGTACACACCACAATGAGATAGATGCAACTGCCTTCATCGACATTATCTATTCATCCATAAGGAAGAAAGACAAGAAAAATTAACAATCCAGTGCTATTAACATGTATTAACAAATAACACTGGACTAAAACCTGAATGACCGATGAGATATGAAAACAAGGAAAAGGAGCCATAAATGTCCAAAACTAAGAGAAAAGCTCATTGTCACAGAACTGCATGTATAATAGAGTAATAAAATTAGTGGAAGGGTTCAAAATGAATACGAAACCTAAAAGTGAAACAAAACAACCTATCTTCATGAAGACAACTTGATCCAATAATCCCTATCTCTCTTTCTTATTTTCAAGATAGAAGTGTAACAGTCCTACCAAAAACACTGCAACTAAAAATTTGGAAAAGCATTCAACAAGAGTTTTACTGAATCTCCAATAAGTGAACAATTTACAAAGTCAAAAAGTAAAATTGTCTATCACGATCGGATGGTGGTTAATACAAAAAATAAATAACTAAAAATAATATTCTTCAGTAGCCATGAATATAAGCATAGAAGGAAACTTAAGTAACTAAGCTCTAAAACAGTTAGATAAGTAATTTAAGATTTTCAAAGAACCATACAGCTTGCAGCACAGCAGTGGTGGCAGAGGGCGACAATCGACGTTGACTTGGTCCTCCAAGCTTTCCTCTTAAAGAACAAGGCAGATCAGTGTCCTCCAGCATACCAGACAAAAATATGGAACAAGATGACGTGGCAAATGCAACCAATCCCTCCTACATACAGACGGAATGATTTTCATTTGCACCAGCGTCAAAATAACCTAGTGTGGAAACTAAACAGGAGTGTGCACAATGATCCATACCAATATAGAAAGAAATAATTTGGAAAATTTCTCAATGATGATAGAAATTTCTGTGGAACTCAAATGGTCCACTATCTCAAGCAATGCAACTTCCGTTTTCATTCTACCTCTCTTACCAGTGTCAGCCACTCTCTCTTGCATTATTTGAAGCTCTCGAATTAAGCTCAAGGCAAGGATGAGAAATTTTACTGGTATGCACTCAAGATGATTGTTTTGTTTGCAGATATCAATGCCATGAGTTTGAATAAACTGCACAAAGAGAATAAGATCAGTGTTAAAAGCCTCCAGAAGGCAGAAACTAAAAGCTGATAACTACACCTAGTTCATATGAGCAAGTCCGTATAGAGCCCAATAAGCTTTTGGGGCCAATTCATACAAGGCGTTTGCTCTAACTTTGAATGGGGCCCCCGCAAGTGGGCGGTGGAATTGGTCTCTTAAAAAATTATGAGCAAGCTAATTTGCACGTCAATAGCCAATTAGTGCATATTAACAACCTATGAAGATTTACGTGATAAACCCCAAACTAGTACGTCTGCACACATTCTATCCTAGTCCTACTTTATCTAAACCCTTTAGATCCTAAAGTATCTCTCAACAATTCTAGCTTAAAGTTTACTCCTCGTCTTTTATCAACTAAAACTAAACACACACCTCTTGAATGTTCCTAGTAAGTCATCATAACTAATGCAAAATAGTAAGTACCAAATGTTGATCCTTGATGTAGCACTATCGTTATAAAAATTCACTTAGTTTCCCCCTACTACTCTCACACTAGCCACGGCTCCATCATACATCTCTTTAATTATATTAATATTTCTAATTTATACTCCTTTACTTTCCAAAACTCTCTACATTTTCTCTCTAGGAACCTTATCATATGTTTTTTCTAAGTCAATAAAAAACAAACGTAGGTTTTTACTGTTCATATATTTTTCCATTAGCCACTAAGTAGAAAAATAGCTTACAAGCAAGGGGGTTTAGTTTCACAAATCAAACTTCAAGGGGGCATTGTGTTTTTGGCCCAACCTGAGGGTGTAAAGAGTAATTTATCCTATTAATTATATATTCTTTCGTACTTAACAAAAAAAATTATTATGTATTCTTTTGCCAGATCAGATTAATGGAGATAAAGGAGGTGAATACCAAACTAAAAAAATGAGGTTCCAAAAAAATGTGATTGGTCATTTTTTAATGCACATTTCTGCAAAAAAATAAAAAAATAAAAATAAAAATAAAAATTGACAAGTAATACACGTGTGCAATGAAAATCACATGATCTCAGGCCTGAATTATTCTAAATGATAATAAAATAATGATTTGTACAAAATCTAGAAAAAAAATTGAATGAATTCTAGAAACAAAACCAAAGCTGCATAAAAAGTGGATCAGTTCAATGAATAATGGGGATGGGCATATGCTACAGTGCTTTGTAGAAAATATTGCATGATAGAAGTGGAAAATATGGTACAAGGATGTAGTTATGACATAAAAGTATAATTGAAAAAAACTGGATTGAGATGCAAGCAAGCAAATCCAAATAGGTAATATAATCAACAAAGTGATGTAATCTAACCTTGGTTAAGTTGAATAAATAAAAGAATAGAACTCTACCACAGTCAAGTGAAGAAAAAAGCATTTAAATTACCCTAGTCTTGGCACATTAAACAACAAGATGCAAATATTGCAATACTATACTCCACAACTTAGAAACAAGAACATTTTCAACAAAAACTTTTTTAACTTACAAACCAGAGATAATAAGAGCCAGAAAATTTTCAGAGAAATTTTAAGAATACAAAGTAAAGCATTCATAATTAGCAGGAAAGCAAAGAAGGTAACCGTTAATATAGGATCCACGTGATGATCCTCCTTAATTACAAGGAATACAACTCTTGCCCATCTTTTTGCTTCAAATCCCCATGTATCCAAGTCTTCATCATCATAATTAACAAAGGCACTCACTGAATGACGAAGACCTATAAAACTTCTAGGGAAATTGCACAGACTCTTCCAAAGCTGCACCACAGCACTGCAGCAAGTGGAAGTACAATGTTTATCATCACAAGCAGAAAGCCATTCTTGAACTTTTACTCTTAAAGAACCTATAATTTCACAAGAGAAAGGAGAAAGAAAAGAACTTAACCTAACAGAATAAAGAATTATAAAAGTAGGAAGCAGTAATTAAAGTGTATTAAGTATGGTACGCCATGTATAAAAAACATACCACCACAATCAGTAAATTCTTGTGGCACTGCTGAAATGAAATGCAGAAGGATCTCAAGAGACACATCAAATGCACGCATTACTGAAGCAGCAGTGTCCACAACTTTGTCACAGACTGGTAACCAAAACAAAGGTTTCACGGTGATCATTACCAAGCTTATTTATCGATTCAGTTACTCAACTGTTGGAAAAAGAATATCATAACCGAACCAGAATTGTGAGTAGATACCTCGAAGACGATAGTTAGGATTAAAATGTTGCTTGCTGCTCTCTATGATATATCTCAAAACATCCAGTAAGTCTTCTTTATCATTATGAAAAGAACTTGCTGTAACAGAATGCACCTGGAGGTCCTGAACCATGTCAAAGGAACCGTCTTTGCACCATTCAACTTCATGCTTTCTATGTATTTGCACTCCACAAGCAGCTGAAGCAATGCATTCTACCAGTCCCATCAATCCAGCTCGCCCAAAAGACTGCTTTTTAGTGGTAGATGCCAAATTGATCAAAAATGCAATACACTTCCTGCAATTATATGGCATACCATATATCAACTACTATCTAGTCCCAAAACTAACTTCTAAGCACATAAATACAACAGATCTTCTGAGAAGAGAGTGGGAGAACAACCAATCATAATCCAATTGGTAGCCCTCCCAGAATCCCAACCCACACAGAGGGGACATTTCTTGAACAGGTCACAGCCTCATTGCAGAAAACATAGATGAGATGACAATAATCATCAAAAAAATTCAATCACAAAGAGCTTTAGGATAAATCTCAAAATCTAAGAGTTAGGGTCAAACACACACATTAAGGACTTCCTAGTATCTTGCTACATAACACAACCACACAGCTAAAGGACTATTTAGACCAATTATGTGGGAAAGCCCCAAGAACTTTGCACTGATGGGATTTCTCATTTGGTTTATAGGGAAAATTCCAGATCTCCATGTGTAACACACTTACAGAAAATGTGACCAGTCACCCTATGTGATTGGTCTAACAGATATACATCATAAGGCTAGGGGTAAACAAACCAACTAGATTTTATGAACAATTCATGCGCTACAACACATTGACCACAGGGCCCACAGAGAGGCAATTAACAAACCAATGACACCACCGTTCCTAAGATGAACTTGGAGAATGTAGAAAATACTTTGGACATAAATTGTAATACCAGGCTTTGTTGATCATTAGTTTTATAAGGTGAGAAACATCTTTAGAAACTTCTATAAGCTAAACAAATAATTGAAGAAAAATTTTCTTTTCGTTTATTGAAGATGTTTATTTATATTATAAAAATTCACAGCCCTTTGATGAAAAAGCCAATCACTTGTAATTCTAAGGTAGACACAACAAATCCAGATTATCTGTAACTTAATACAGTGGCTGTGCTCTACAAGCCCAATGCCCATCAGGTAGCAACATTGCAATTAGCATTGTGAATGAAATCCCAAATGTATTCACCTGATCTATATCAGAATAAAACTCTACAAGTTCGAAAATGTCAGCACTAATTACGAAGTGAAAACCTAGTAATGTATTCAAGGACCTCAGTGATTGGACAGGATTATCCTTCTACTATTTGCAATTATAATCCAAGTGATTGAAAACCAGGGAAATGGAAAACTCATTGATATTAATATTACACAAATAATAAAGAGGAAGACTGCATTTTTCCCCTGCAAATTATGCCTATGTTTTGGTAGACTAGTGAAACTAGATACAGTTAATTCAAAGAAGTGAAATTAAATTTTAGTTCAAAAATTTACTCTAAAGTTGAAAGGATAACCCATCCAAACATGATAGTGTACCTAAAATTCAGGCAACTGCCGTATTGGCACATAAATTTGGTTGCACCTTCAATTGTCCTTGAAGAGTAGATTCCTTTTATTCCTAAAAAGAGAGGGGGGAAAAAAGACAAAAAAAAAGAAAAAAAGAAAAGGCATTACAAACAGAAGAACTACAAAATAAAGAACTACGGAGCATGTGGCATCACAAGCTTAAATGGTCTTAGTATCAAACAACAAGCTTAAATAGTCTTTCAAGTCAATTTTGGAGATCGTAGGGAAACAAACCAAATATATATACATGTATTATATGTATATGTATTTGAATTTGAATTTTTCAGCAGGTTTTCACTAAAGATATATCCATATATATATTGAAGCCCTTAGGTTTTCTCTTAATGGTGAACAGGATCATTCCATCTGTGAATAAATGGACCAGACACAAAATATTCAGGTACTAATATTCAAAATTATTTTCTTTGCTCGCCTCACAGTTATTGAGCACATATCCAGCCTCTCCTTCATGCATATAAATCCCAAAAGAAAGTGCTAGAACTTTGAAAACACTGGCCAAAAAGAATTCAGCAGCCAAAAGTGGGAGACAGCCTCAAAACCATTACCCCATTGCTAGGACTATGCTCATGCTTCTATCAGTACAATGCAAATAATAAATAAATAAATAAAAATTAAGCATATAAGGCATAATTCATGGCCATACCCCTTAAAACTGAAAATTAGGAGCAAATATAGTTCCCTACCAGACTCTCTACAAAAAAAACTAAACAAATTGAGAACGAACCAAAATCTTTATGGTGCACAGGATCATTCAATCCTTGAATAAATGGACCGAGCACAAAATCTTCAGGCACTAATTCGGCACAGTGCCTATAGTTCTTCCACTCGATGCCCAAAAATGACTCCATGATCAAGCACCTTACTGCAGTACAAACATAACAGAAAGGACAGTAAATTTTTCTTGACTAAAATTGTCCCAACATGGTTTACAAGAAACCAACTTCTACCATCTAATTAACTAGTAAAATTGACAAGTTACTGGTACCTTGAGGATTGTCATGCAAGAAACCCCTTTGCCACAAAACAGCCAACCAACTAAATATATCCACTGATCCCTCCATCTGATTTTGATTAAGTCCTCCACTAAAAGATTTCATGGAATCATCATGTGGAACAGAAGACTGCAGCAACAAGGTTATCTGCAAAGATTATAAGCATTACATGATCAGACAACACCTATTAAGCTAAGTAAGACCAAACTAGTAGTAAATTCTGCATGTTGCAATGACTACGAGCCCTTTTGAGAAATCAATACACATATATGAAGTAAGACACAAAAACATAAGATAATAGTGAAGTGTCATATTTACCATAAGCTTTTAAAGAATGCTTGATTACAATGCATCAGAGGATATTATCAGACAAATTGCTTCCTGTTTCCAGACACTGAAAATGAGAGAAACAATTTTGATAGGCAGTTGTTTCCAGAGATAGGACCCTCTAGATCCACAGCTATCAGTGAAGTACTTAACCCAACAAGCCTTCATCTGTGGGTGCAACACCCATACTAATGCCCAGGCCCCAACCATAAGACAATGTGGAAGACAGTTTTTACTAATTTAAAACAGCTCTTGCAGCCAAAAACAAAATCATATTATGGAAAGGTAATACAGAACTTCGGGCTGTGTTTGGAGGAGCTCTAGAATTCCAGTGCATATTTCAATACTTCGTTTGATTTAAGTTTTCAAAAATTGATTCCAATGTCACATTCCAAAACACATTTCAAATCATGTTTGGATAGCATAGAATTTTTTAAATTTTGAGTCTACCCGGTCATCCTCCCAAACGTCCGGTCAGTCGTCCGGCAGGTTGACTGGAACAGTGCCTTTTTTTCTTTTCTTTTTTTACAATTGCCAATCGCCACCTGTTATTTGGAAGAAAAAAAGTTATATCTGTTTTTGATATTTTTTAAATATAGAAATTATTTTTTTAGACCAAAATGACAAATTATTTTTTTGAATTGAATTTTAAAAAGAGTTTGGTTATGAGTTTTGAATAGAATTTTCAATAGAGTTTTGAGTTGTGTGTTTGGTTATGAGTTATAAGTTTTGAAAATTCTTTTCAAAGCTCATAACCAAACAAATTTTATTCCCTTTGATTTTCTTCATATTTCTTTCTTTTCTCTAACTTTCTCTTCTAACTCTCAAGAATAAAGTTTCTCTCAAACTCTCTCCATCCTTCTCTCTTTTGTTCTAAGAACTAATTAGCTTAAGCAACTAATTGTTTCATTAGCTTAAATGGCCAAGTTTAACTCAGACTAATCTTGCTTTGCTTCTAAGAAAGAGAATTTACTGAGTAATTGTAGTTTAACAATAAACACGAAAACAATAAAGAAAATCATAATATTGTTAAAAATGTTGATCCCAAACTTGGATAGAACGAAGTAACAGAAACATACAAAAACAAACGGCACAACAATTGGAAATTTGTAGAAAAATTAATTGACAAAACAAATATTTCCTAAACCAGTTGCGAATTCGGAGACCCAAGCAAAGGAATTTGCCAAAAACCGCCTTAGATCACAACAAAGCAATGAGCTTTTCTTGTTGGACCATTTTTTATCGAACGTTAGCCTTTCAAGCCAAATCCAACAACGTTGGGCTGAACCCATAACTACCATTTTGTCATGTGACAATCCAATTGCTTCAAATACTTTGTAGCAACTAGATCTGCATCCAAAACCTCTCACTCTCTACGAGTTTCCTTCTCTTCTTCTTTTCTACCACTCTAACTAGCTACATTGTACAAGGACAATATCAATGTCCTTTTCATTAATAAAATCTTTACTTATCAAAAAACCAACTCTAATAAAATAAAAAGTGTTGCCTAATGGCCAATACATTACCAATGCATATAGTGTTCAAATAGCAATTCAGAAGGATCATTTATGATAAGTTCGAAAAACATGATTAACCTACCTGGTGATTCCATGCTGCTTCAACCAAGTGAGTACCATACTCTTCAAGCATTTCGTACAAAAGAAAGAACGCCTCCCATTTCTGAAGACTGTTTAAAGAGGGATCAAGTGAATTGCATATCTTTCCTACACCCAATGATTTGGCTTCCATGTCAGCCCACTGCCCCTTTTTTGTCAAACCATTAGGCATTGAAGTTTTACTACTTGATATCATCTCAAAAACACCGGAGTAGCATTGGCTCCCCTCATTTATCTGTAGCATCATCTTCAATATATGTAATGACTGTTTCCTCGCTAAGCCTTCCATATCAACCTAGCAAGCCAATTTACAACAACAAAAAGAGATGCAAAAAGAAAGAATATTTATTTTCCTAGAGCATACATGAAAGCAAATCGAAATATTAGAGGAAGAGTGCTCGAATACCAAGCCCTTTTTTATCTCATCCCAGAACTCTTTCTCCGCTCTTATATCAAACCCATCTTCTCTGTCACTAGCATCATCATTGTCACACCCATCAGTACAAGAGAAAAAAGAAAAATACAAAGAGAGCACATTGTATGAATCTCTTCTCTCCAAAGGTCCCATAGAAAACAGTGTTCTGCAGCATGGCCATATTTTTTCAAAGAAATGTTTCCTGGAACATCAACAGGGTGTAGTCAGGAATTAATGACAGAAACTGAGAAACATAACATGTCTGGTATTGACTTCACACTAGACAAAATTCGTGCTGTTAGAACAAATGGTAGCCATTTTACCTGGAAAGTATATATGTCTGCCCACGAACTGCGATTTCAAAAGCAGGGTGAGAAGCAAATGCTTTAAATATGCTAGGTAGGAGAAATTTAATTGCACAATACCGATGTTCTATACTTTGTAAAAGCATTCGAACAGTCATGTTACAAAGATCCCATAGAAAATTTTTTGCAAACTTTTCTGCATAGCGCCCACTAGCCCAACTTGATTCTGATGTGTTTCCAGCAGCTAAATGATTTCGTACAGCAGAATCCAATATTGAGATTAAACTATAGCATGAAACATCCAATGGAAAAGAGAAAGACACAGAGTCTGAAATCATGGAGTCTTTAATGTCTGAATTAGCTAGCTGCTCTTCAATTCCAAGAAAGACTGAGCTTCTGCTCCATCCATAAATCGCCAATTCTTCACTTTGAAGCATTCCCATAGATAGACCAACCAATCTTAGAAAAAATGGCACCATGGTTGCTTCTACAATCCCCCAAGAGTTTGTTTCAATCACAACATCAAAGAAAGAATCTGCAGTCTAAATCCAAACTCGTGTAAGGTAAAGAATGAAATATGTTGTAAGCATGACATTGAAGAATTTAGTATACAAAATACACATGATAATAATGTGACTGCCATTTTACCTCGTTAAGTATATCACAATCATGCGCATGTACCAACTTCATCAATGGGACTAAAATCTTCCAAATAAATGATTGCAAAGCACCAAGGCTAGCACCTGCCAAGAAACTTTTGTGAACAACCAAGCAGATGAGCACTATGTTTAGCATAGGTATCCTACTTCCAAACTTAACAACCAAGGACACAAAACCATTATTATTGATCATAAGCAAATAATACATAAGATCTACTAACCATGTTTACAAACTCGAAGAAAATTATATTAGAATTAGAACAACAACAAAAATTTCTTGTGATATAGCTTTCATCAAAAGGGGGGCGAAATGGTTTGGATTGACTCTATAATATATCAACTAAAAGAAGCGCAACCCCTAAATTTTCTAAAACTCTGTGATGAAAGTTCTTTGTGGGAGGCACCCTTTCACACCAACCATTTGGTATTTCAGTTTGTATCACTAACCTTCAACTTCACCTCCTTCATAATTCAAGTCAATTCATGATGGCTTTCCTAATTCCCACATCACAGGTTTATCAAACAACCTTAACCCACCACTCTCTACTATCCAAGTCATACTTCAAGAACACTAATTTTTCAGAAGCTCTTTTGCTCTCAAGCAAACCTCCAAAACCATTTGTCATTTGCACAAAAGGGTTAGGTTCGTGAGCACTACAGAATTTTTCAAGAGCTCAACTCATTATTAGCAATTTAGGACAACAAATAGCATCTTAATCCACTTAAATTCATTCCCATAATTACCTAAATAAATTTTTTTTAAAAAAATTCAATTTCTTTACAACCAAAGCAAGATTGTACTGAGACATATCAAACAAGTTGGCAAGCTTGCTTCAGTACTTCGACTGAAGGTAAGCTCTCCCCACAGGAAACGGTAAGCCTTATTCCAACAGCTTAACCTTTCTTCAACTCTCTCTACTAGGAAATCCCAAAGAGCTATTAATTTAAAAGAAAATTCTAAGATAGAACTGTCTAAAAGAAGATAAAGGCAAACCCACATCATATATATATACAAACTAAGTTACATGGACTTGGGTATGGGTGTCACGTGTGATGTGTCTATGTGTTGGAGTCATCTAATTCTTATGTCCAATGACACATAACATGGATAAATTTCATATTTCTCAAATACTTGATTTATTTAGGGCAAAATGTTGTTTACAAACTAATATGGAGCTTTTATGAATAAAGCAAGAGTTTTATACTCAGTTTAATAATAAACTCTACTACTTAAATATATTTATGCTAGATGCACAACCCAAGTCTCAAGTGTCCACTTCAGGTACTTCACAAAATTTTAGAAGAATACAAGTAACAAAGTATACTAGTAGTAAATTATCCATCTCGACCATCTCATATACAGGCCTCAATTTGCCCTACCCAAATTTATTCTCATGTGTAGCAAAAAAAAATCCTTATTCACGTGATCATACACTTTCACAGTATCCAATGTGCAAACCAACCCCAGAATACCACTCCTCAACCTCAAATCCAAATTCTCAATAGCTATAAAAAAATGCATCCAAAATCGTCCAAACTTTGGCTCCTACAAAAGTATTTCGACATTCTGAAACCACCTCTAAAAGCACCTCCTTTGACCCTCTAGCCAATATTTTATATGCCCCTCCCAATAAAGATATGGGCCTAAAATCCTTAATATTCTCCACCCCCACCACTCCTCTTAGAAATCAACGACACAAATGATTGAAAGAGGCATTCAAAGTTTTCTCAAAAACACCGTGCTTGGAAAATGATGTTATCATTCACAACACATCTTCTTTAAAAATGTCTCATAACTCATCTTTTTTAACAATGTACTTTGCCATGGATATATAATTTATAGGATTTGGGCTTTTTGAATATATAGGTATCACCTCCTCTTGGTGCTTTTGGTATAGGGTCTGCCCCCCTTTTTGGCACTTTTGTTAATAATATTTTGTTTATCAGAGAAAAAGCCAGACAGAAATTGTTTCAATATCAGTTTACAGTGGACAAGCTAAACAAAGGAACATAAACAAAGAAATCATAATTTTTACAATACAAATGTCCATAAACAAAGTAACCTTTGTTTCAACAAAAAAGGTGCATAAACAAAGAAATCATTACAACAGAGTTTACAGTAGGCTTCCTGATCATACAGCATATTGCCTCTTTGAACCAAACACAAAAACAAAACCTGTCCTCTAGCTGGACTCGGGAATGCAACTCACCTAATTTCTTCAAAAGATGACAGAGCGCACTTGCATATGACCTGACATAATTGCGCTGCTCAGAATCAAATTTTCCATTTCCCAGGATAACGTCCTATTTTACAAACAAATATATGATAATTAATAGATAAAAAAAAAACTCAACATACACTTAAATTTACACTTTGTTTGGCTGCTGAGAACCGTTAGGGGTGAATTCTAAACATCTGGAATCTTAAAGCCCATGCAAAGTGAAAGCATTCGCTTACAAATCCACTTTTTACCCAATTAAGACCATATATGTATATATTAGAAGTTGTGCACACCCACGTGGATGTGCTTGAAATTTGCAGTTACATATCATGCTGTTACAAAGAGCCCATGGTTGTATTTAAATTGGGTGGATTTAAATTTAGCAGTCATATAAGAATGAAGAAGGGTAGTTTAATAATCAATAAAATCTGTGACTTTCTTACCAATTCAAGTATTCTATTTTATTTTTGGGTAACTCATACCAATTCAATTGTTTGCATTATGTAATAGAATAGATACATATGTCTTTTACAACCCGTTTGAATTGAGTGGTTTGAAAAGAAATGATAAGAAATGCAATTTCTTTTTTTTCTTTTTTTCTTTCTTTTTTCTTTTTTGGGGTTCATTTAACTTGATTCTGATAAGTAAAGAAGATAGAAATGAGGTGAGACGGGAAGAAATTGAGAAAAACCTACTTCTCTCGTTTAAATAAAATTTTTTTAAAAATCTATAAATTACTTTTTTTTTATTATACCTAAAGATAATAAATTTGACATTTGATGACCCCTATAAATAATTTCTTCTTCTTTTTATATAGTTTAACCAAACAAAATAATACATAAATTAATATCTTTACTCTTCTTCTTTATTCTCCAAAAAGAGAAAAGACACAATTTTTTTTCTCATTCTTTACGTTCTCTCACTTATATAATCATTTCTTCTTTATCTCTCCTAACTTATCAAACAGAGTGTTGGTTTGCTCAGTTTTCTCAGCAACCAAACATAATTGGGTCTTGATAAAAAAGAAAGTAGTACCTTGATGAGATTAGGGGAAGCATCCAGAAGAGAAGAGCAAAGCAATGAAGGAGACAATCCGGTTGAAGCTAAAACACAATCTAGCATGGCCGGAACAGCCGCCGGAGGGACTAGCCGGAAACTGTTGGACAGTGAAGCAACGTAAGAAGCCATTGGATTGGACTCTCCTGTTTCAGACATCTTCATGGAGGGGAAAACTGTGTGGTGCATTCAATTCAATTCAATTCAAATGGTTATTGAATAAACCCTAAAACCAAAGGGTTTTGTGAAAATTTTTCGGGGTTTGCTTTGAGGTCCCTGTGTTTTGTCGTATTTGTATATGTATGCCAGTTTGTGCTTGATTTTCCATCTGTATATGCCAATGGGTCGTTTCGTATTTGTATGGATGCCGGTTTTTGGATTAAAATATGTTAAATAATTAATAAAATAAAATGAAAATTAGTTTAAAGTTCCTCTCTCACTTTTAATAATGAAAGAGATTCACAATGTTATTTTACGATGTCTAAGGTCCTTCAACCTCAAACTCATATATCACAGAGAAATTTAAAAAGAAACGAAAAGGCTTCAAAAACTGAGTTTGGTCTCTCTCTTCTCTTTCTCTCTCTATCTCCTACATCAAACCAGTACTTCGTCTATCTCCCACCACTGCCAAGGATCACCATCGTTTGCACACCGCCTATCGGAGCAACTCCAAACACACCGACACCGCGACCCAAGTCGCCGTTGGCTCACACCGATACTATACCAATTCGCCAATTAGAACTGTCTTCACCGACCTACTTACCGACATCGTGACAACTCAGCGGCGCATCCTTCTGTTGGCTACATATTTTGTATAAGCCAATTACAATTCGAAGCGTGGCAAAATAAGGGTAATATGGGAAGACTATTCAAGTCTTCGATCCTGATCGTACACGTGGCAATTAGTGTTGGTTATTGCGAGATCTGAGTAGCAGTGAATCAACAAAGAGATGCAGGATGATGTGGCTTCAACAGTTACTCACATTTCAAATTCAAATTAAGAAGGGAAGCCTAACTGCAAGTAATGGCGTAATGGAACTAATCTTGAGGCAACATGATCAGCGATCATGGAGGAGCAGTTCGACGATTAGAAATGCAGTTCGATGGTCATCCTTGAACAGTATAAATAACTGAGAAGGCCCCAGAAAAAGCCCTCTAGACTCAGATCCAAAAAACCAGTCTTATTATACTTATTTCAGTTTTACATTTCCAATCTTACATTTTCTGTACTTTAAATTCCTACACTGCACTTCGTTCATAGGAGTAGTTTCAAGTAGATTGTTACTGTAAACCTCTACGAGGCTGAGTTTGAATCATTGTAAGTTTTTTCATGTTAACGAAATACTTCAACTGTTCTTCATTTAATTGTTATTTTGCTTAATTCTCCTAAATCAAGCCACCAGTAAAAATCCTCTTCATTGAGACTGAAAGAATTAAAACGCAATCGTCTGATAATTGGTTGGCAATTAATTTTCTGTAAGGACTGATTGATCCTTGCTGGCACGCTTGCAATTACAATAATACCCTTCGAAAGTCAAAAGGCTAACATACATTTTTGGCACGTCCAGTAGGACTAATTGAAATTACTAGACGTAGGAGACAATGAGAAAATGAACGCTTGGAAGAAGGTGTGGAAGGAGAGTTAGAAATACCTAATCTAGAGGATAATGTGACAACACATCCTGTGGAAAATTCTCATTTTATCAGAACCTATGGTCGAACAGACCAGCACTTCAGAACAAGTACCACATATTCGTAATATTGGACGAGACCAAGGAATTGGACCATCCACTGTTCCATTTACTCAGCCAACAAATCCATGGGGTGCCCTAGTAGATGCTATGGGACAACAGTTAATAAACACGATGGAAAGGTGGGCAACATTCTTTTTGGATCAAATGAATAATCACCAAACAACAAACGCAAAACACAAAGAGGAAGTTTTAAATGTTCCTCAGCAAAGTTGGCTAGAGATAAACAACCTATGCAAGTTAATGGACATTCTAATGGTCAAATTAGTAATCAGAACTGTGAAAGACCATCACCTCAATCTTGGTACGAGCCTATTCCGAGGCCTATAGCAGGTCAAAATACCTCGGTACTTAACAGTGAAACCATGCAATTTGGTGGATCTGGCCCAGTATAAGAAAATGACATAAGAATGGTTCCAAATCCCATGTTCAAAGCCATACCTGGCATAAGGGGTTTCACTAATCCCTTATTCGAATTTATACCCGGGGGGTTAGAAGGTTTTCCTACAAATGGAAGAGACACAACACCAGTTCCAGCACCTTTCGTTCCTTTCGCAGGACAGGCTCAAAGGGGTCACCCATAACCCCAACAGCAGCCAGCACCACAGGGACAACTAGTCCCAAATATACCACCCTATAGACCAAGAGGACCCCAGGCACAAGGTTGTCCACCAAATCTTGTGTTTGTTCCTCCAGTAGTGGTTCAACAGGTACAAAATATGATCCCTAGGGACCAAATTGCTGACATTGTTAGAGAGATGTGTAGACCAATGGCTCGGGGGGTCCAGACTCCAGTGTACAAGAAACCGTACCCAGAATGGGTGGACAGGGTACATGAATATCCAAGAGGTTTCAGGATACCAGATTTTGCCCTTTTTTATGGGAATAGAAACCAATCAACAGTGGAACATATTGCTAGGGTTGCTGCTCAATGCGGTGAATTTACTAATTGACTATATGAAGTTAAGGTTGTTCCCAAATTTCCTAACTGGGGGAGCATTTGTATGATATATTAGCCTTACACTTGGCTCTATCCAAACTTAGCAACAAATGGAAGAGGCATTTCATGCCCAATTCTTCCAATCGGAGCCAGAGGTTTCTATAGCAGACTTGGCAAGATTGAGTCAAAGGCCGACGAGAAGGCCACTCAGTTTATTGCCAGATTTAAAAGGGCTCAAAATAAATGTAGAGTCATCCTGCCAGAGCCAGATTTCGTGAGATTGGCTCAAAATGGCTTAGAGTTTAGGCTTCGAAAGAAGTTTGACTCAACTGAGTTCAAAGACTTAGTGGAACTCACTTATAAGGTGTCTAGATACGAAGCATTTCTAAAGGAGGAACAATATCGAAATAATGCATCGTACAAAACATATTATAGAGATCCTAATTATGAAATCGATGCAGCATAGATTATGGGAAAGGAACCTGTGATCTGTGAAGCATTAATTCATAAGGATACAACAATTGACCGGCAATTTAAAAAGAAAGACCTTCACAGCAAATATTATTTCGATTTAACTAAGGCATATAGCATTTTTGATCATTTGCTTGCGGTCAATTTCCTTAAGTTACCAAAAGGAGTTAAAATTTCATCTCTTGATGAACTTAAAGGAAAAGTTTATTGTAAATGGCATAACTCTTGGTCTCACTCGACTAAGAACTGTATTGTTTTTCGAGATAAGATCCAAGAACAAATTCGGAAAGGAAGTTTGAAATTCCCAGCCAAAGTTGAAAAGGCCATGGGAATCGACAGTAATCCATTTCCAGAAATTGGAGAGGTGGCAGCCAATGTCACTATGCCAGATTTTCAGAACCTATCTTTGAAAGAATTGGAAGAAGTCAATGTGCAGATGCATGTGGCCAACCAGACAACTGTCAAGAAAGACACTGGAAATCTAGTAGCTATTGGACAAGGTTTCTCACACTAGAGAGAAGACTCTGATGAAGAAGCATTGGATGATGATTCCTTAGAAGCAGCTGTGATGCAAAGGATATGTCCTAGGTGCAGACTAAGCTACAAGTAATTGAAAGGACTTCTAATTGATGGGAAGCAATATTACAAGGATGTGCAGAGACGTCCTAAACCAACCAATGCTTACCATAAAAGGCCATATCCATCTGGTGTTAGGCAGCAGCCATTGAGGATTGAACCAACAGCTGATAGAATGTATTCCAAGGGCAAGAAGCCCTTACATGAATCCAGGCCGCCTAATTATTACATAATGGAGAGCAGTCATTCTGAGAGGAGACTGGAGAGAGGTTTAGTTTATGGGTTCAAAGCCAGAGATTGGCCCCCTAGACCAGCCTCACGCAGGACAGAAAGTGGATACCTTCATCAAAGGCCTGAGCTAGGCCCAAAGCATGAAGTCAAGGCCAAACAGTGGCCTTCACGGCCAGCTTCGAGGGTGATTTTGAATGAGGAAAGAAGCAGTTCAACAGCTGGGTCAGTAGATTCGTGGGTATCTAGAGTCCCAGACTGGTTTGTGATGCAGAACAAATCCAAGGAGGTGTTTACCCAGAGAGAGGTTGCTGGAAACCAAGGTAGGATGGTCAAACCTCCTTTGGTGGCTCCAAACAATTGGGTCTTGCTTAAGCACCCAAAAACAAGAGAACCAGTGCTAATGCCACCAAAGGGTGATAAGCCCTTGAAGTTGTACATAGCTGCAGCAGAAGATTCATTGGGAGCTTTCTTAGCCCAAGACAATGAAGAAGGCAAGGAGCAAGCTGTTTATTACCTTAGTAGGTTTTTAAATTATTGTGAATGTAAATATTCAGCTGTAGAAAAGCTGTGCCTTGCATTGTATTTTGCTGCAATGAAATTAAGATATTTTCTTTTATCTATAACTGTCTTGGTAATTGCAACCACAGATTTGGTTAAGTATATGTTATCTAGACCTATGTTGAGGGGAAGAATTGGCAAATGGATATTAGCTCTGACAGAATTTCATTTAGAATGTGTTCCCCAAAAAGCAGTGAAAGGACAAGTTTTAGCCAATTTTTTGGCAGACCATCCATCTCAAACAGAGAGCCAAGAGATAATGGAACTTGTTATGGCTAGTGTTGAGCCATGGCAGATGTGGTTCAATGGATTAAAAGCCAATGACTTAGCTGGAATTGGTATAGTGATTAAGTCACCACAAGAAATAGAAACCACACATGGTTTCAGAGTGGATGAAATTACTTGTTCTAATAATCAAGCTGAATATGAAGCCTTAATAGTGGGATTGGAAATTCTTATTGGATTACAAGTTCATGCAGTTGACATATTTGGAGATTCTCAATTGGTGGTTAACCAAGTGAAAGGGATTTTCAAATGTCAAAGTATAAGCATGTTGCCATACTATATTGTTGCATTACATCTGCTTTCTCAATTTCAAATAGCAAATGTAACTCATGTTCCAAGATTCTTGAATAATAGCGCTAATGATGTGGCTCAGAAAATTTCGAATTTCAAGAGGATGGATAATACTCAAAGGGACATAAGCCAAACAACATACCATAAATCTATACCACCCTTAAATAAAAGGAATGTGGTCCTGGAGGCCAATCACAATGACTTACAGGAACAAGATTGGAGGCATCCAATAATGCAG